CCTTAAGGAACTGCTCTGACTTGTGGTGTTATTACCTTGCCCCTAGAGTTATGCTCATATGCAAACTTTTCCCCAGGTGATAATGTGCTGGGCTGGCTTAGACTGCTTTGTATAGCTTCAGAAAAAAATCTTTGGTTAAAGTACCTCTTGCATGTGACAAGAAGCTGGCTGGGGTGTCCTTGAAAGTCATCTAGTTTTTTGACCTCATAGAGCGCCACATCTAAGCCTTAAGTGAAATGTTAATTTTCTGGTTATTTTAGCTTACAGTGTGGAAAATGCCTATTCTGTTGTGGATACTAAGTTGTTAGAAAAGATTGTAGCAGTCATCTCGTTTCACTGTTTATTTAAAGTGTCATTTTGTGAGGGCCCTTCCTTGTCAGGCACTAGGAAAACACAGTTGCCCTCCTTGAAGGGCTTCAAGACTTCCTCCTGCCAAGACTAGGGGCTCTTCTAATGTCATCTCACATGTCAGCCTGGGACTAAACATTTCTAGTCACAAACAGTTTACTACCTCATGGGACAAGCCATTCCCTTGTCACAGTTATGTGGCTTTGCAGTTAAGGGGCAGGGACCAAAGAGTCCATTCTGTGCAGTTGTTTCTGGACTTCTTTTCCAAGTGAAGTCTTCCTTAGAACAATGACCTATCAGATGAATAAACCTGGAATGCTCCAGTGTGGCCTTGCCTCCTGGCCTGCGCCCTCTTCCTTCCCTAAGTGGCCCCTTCTTCGACTCTTAGGGCTCTCATCAAGTCAGCAGCTAATTAGAAAGATTTTTTTTCCCCACACTGAGCCTGGATCTTCCTAATTATTCTAAATTCAGACTCTTAGACAGTATAGTACAATTCAGCTTTGTGTTCTTTGTAAAACTTGAGGTGCTTGCAAGGCACTCAGCACCCCTTTCTGGACCACACTTTTTTGCCAAGGCAGCCTGGCCTTCCCCGTGTCTGCAGGTGGCATGTTTCAAATTTTCACTGGGGAAATCTTGTTTCATTTCTTCCTCTACACTGGACACTGGAGGCAGAGCTCCTATGAAACTATCTCTGGTGAATTTGAAGTTGGTTGTTAATCTCCAGTCTCATCATCGATGCTTTTCCCCATCAAGCCCTTTAAAAAAAGTTGTCAAAGACAAAACAGAGAAAAAGAAGTTCCCTTTTTAGGTGGAATCATACTAGCAGCCCTGGTTGCCGCGTTAGGCCCCTGCCCACACAGAAGCCCACTCTCCTCAGGGTCCTCCCAAGTGCCTGTCCTCGCAGCAGGCAGGGCCATGCTGCCGCGCATCCCCTGGTTAGCATTCTCTTGGTATATCGGGTTGCACGGCCCACGATGGTTTCACTGCGGAGACCACTTGGCGTCTTACTCAGAGCAGATGAGGGCAGCTCCACAGGGAGCTGCTTCTCTGGCATTCAGGCAGAGTGGTATTTTCCTGTGTTGCCAGAGTCCTTCAGTCTCACTCAGCATCAGAGTGCTGCCCTTCGAGATGGAACAAGTGGTGGGGCCACTTTAGGCATTAGAATAAAGTCCTTGGCATCTGAAAAGTGACATTTTGTACTCTTTGATCTGCGGTCCTGTCCGCCTTCCCCTCTTTTGAAGTGACTATCCCGGGATTCACTGTGCTGTTAGATTCAAGGTCATGTCTTCCCTTCGTTTTCAGCCTCTTTCTGTATTTTACAGAGAGTGGTGGGTTTCAATCTCATTTTCATGTAATTTCATGAACTGTATGACACTGAGAAAGTATGGATTGATGATGCCACTCTAGCATTCTGCGTTTTGTCACATCTTGCCGTCTGTTCAACAGACGAAAAGTGTTAGCTTTCTGTTTCTTTGCAAGTTGGAGAGTATATAGGGCAGACAGAATGAAAGCTCTTTCCTTGAGGCACTGACACTGTACCTAGGAGTTCCTAATCAGGCACCTGTGGCAAGCTTCTTTGGCTCCTTACTCAGAAAATGTTATGCATGGGTTTTTGTATAATTTCTTGTATGAATTTTTCTTGAGATTTCTTTTCAGGGTATCTGAGGCCACATAATGGTAATTGTGCTAAATCCATCTTTTAATTAGTACTAAAGGCAATGTTGTGTGGATATTCGCTTTTTGTTGTTGTTGAAGGACATTGCCTTGAAAAAAAAATCTGCTTTAAAGCAACTTGTACCTGAGCTTTGCCTGGCCTTGGTCATCTGATTTTGCTCACTACTGTGTGTGTGGAGGCCAAAGGAAAACAGATGAGTGCCCTCTGCAGGCCTTGGCTGACAGTGACTGGGAACCTGTGGAGCAGCCTGGCCCTTTACCAGGCTCTTAACCAACCTTCTCCTAAGTAATTGCACGCAGTAGACATATATGTCAGTGACCCTACAGTTGTGGAATTCAGCTTTGCTACTCTTGAAATACAATTTTAGTAAAGCATGATGTTGTAGATGATATTTACACTTTCATAGGAAGGGATGGAGGAACTGTATTCTTTTTGAATCTACACTGCATTGCAATATTTTTTTATTTATACTGCAAGGACAAATTGGCCAGATGTGGTAATATACACCTGTATTCCCAGCACTTGGGAGGCTGAGACAGAAAGGTCGCTGGTCTGGGCTACATAGTGAGTATAAGGCCAGCCTGAATTACAGAGCAAGATCGTATCTTAAAACAAAAACAAAATAAAACAACAAAAAACCCCCAACCAACCAAAGAAACAAAAGAACAAGTTGCTACCTGATATATCATTTTGATTTAAGGACTTTATTTTACTTTCTATAAAATTTAATTTCATTAAAATTTAAGAGTCATTCACTTTAATTACTGTTAGTGTTACTTCTAATAAAAGATACAGGGTGGGGTTTACAAATGCTGCAGAAATTGCAGGGCTGAATTTGCCCTGGAAAAATAGATCAAACAGAATTTATGTCCACCTGAAGATTCGTTACAGGGTAGGCACATAACTTGGAAATCCCAGCTTTTGTTATTACTTTTCTTTCTTTTTTTTGTCTTTTTGAAACCGGGTCTCAGTATGTGGTTCAGGCTGGCCTTGAGCTCATTTTGTAGTCTGTGCTGTCTCAAACTCCAAACCATCCTCTGGCCTCAGCCTCCCGAGTGCTGGGATTTACAGGCGTACACCACCAACGCATGCCGTTACCACTCTGTGCTGTGTACATTACCTTTTCATAGTCAGGTTTAGTTTTCATATTTGAGGGTTGTTGTAAAAATTAAATGATATAAAAAGTATTTTCACAAATACAGTCTTGTTTGAGTATTCAACAAATATTCATGTTCAACAGATACTTATTCAGCTTCTAGTAGATACAGTAACCATTTTGATATTACAGATTGGATCCTGAATATAGCAGTGAGAAAAAGGACATGAACCTTACAGTGTAGGAAGGGCATTAGACAGTAAGCAGGTAAATAACAGGATAATGTTCACAAAGAAATCGTTGATGTGAAGAAAATACATGTGACATAATGGAGAATGACTGGAGGCCTGCTCCAGAGTAGGTGGTCAGGAAGAGCTCCCTGAGGACGGGACATTAAAACTAGCTAAATGACAAAGAGCCAGTCATAAGAAGACTGGAGGAGTGGCCGTGGAAAGGCCAGGAGGCAGGGCTGTGCTGGCGTGCACAGAGACAGGCAGGAGCCTGTAGGGCCGGGATGTAGCGTTTTCATTCTGAAGACTATAGGAGAAGAGTTGAGTTTTAGGAGCAGGGTAGGGATAGGCCCTCGCTTATATTTCAGGAAAATTCCTTTCGCTTTTCTATGCAAAACAGATTGTAAAGAAGCAAGAATGAAAGACCAGTGAAAAGACGTTTTGCTGTCTGCGCACACAGTGATGGTGGCTTGTGTACACACACTGGATCGGGCCATGATGTAGCTCAGGAGCACAGTGCCTGCCCGGCAAGCACGAGGTCATGAATTCAAGTCCCAGTAACAAGATAAATAAAAAATAAAAATAAACACATTGGATTGATGGTTCAAGTACTGGCTTTCCCATCAGCTCTGCAGTGTAGAGGCAGTGTAACATCATGGTTAAGAACACCAGCTAGAGAGTCAGACTGGTTTGAAATCTGAATTGATAACTGTATGCCTAGGGACACATTTCTTAGCTTTTCTGTGTCTAATTTTGCCATTTCTACAATGGGAACAGTGATAGAATATTCCCCTTAGGATTTCTTCAGGATTAAATGAGATAGTAAAATCACAAAATGCTCAGAGGGATTTGTAAATATTGCTGTGCTATCTCCAACCACCCCCACTACTATTTTCATGTGATCCTCAGTATCTTGAATTTATAGGGAGGACAACTTACAATAGAAATGGAAAGTAGCTTTGAGGTCAGAATATGGACTTCTTGATTTTGAATCTGTTCTGCAATATAACTTGGAGTGTGAGTTCCCAGAGAAAAGTACCTGTTGATCTCAAAATCTGTTACTGCCCCCTGAATTTCACCTACCTGTGAATGTGTAGGGAATATTGAGAGAGTGCTCAGTGAGGAGCTAGCTGAATCCCAGTGTGTGGTAGAGAGGCGGCCTGTGCTGTTTTCCCTCCCTGTAACATTCTGTGCTATCAGAATTTTCAAATTACCTGATTTTTGAGAAGTATTGCACGCCTGAACCAAAATCATTAACATGTAAGTAATAATAAAGATACCTGTGGGAGGGTACAACTGAGTATCTTGAGAACTTTATAAGGTAATCTCTTTAGAGGACATTGTAGTCTTCATTAATTGTGAATCCATTCATAATAGAAATACATGAGATCCATGAATTATTCTTAGATTTTTCTGATCAAACTTATAGTGAAAACATTAATCAGACTGCCACATTTGAATTTCTCTCTCCACCTCTCTGCTTTTCCCAGCGTCTTCTGGAGTAAGTATCGAGAAGGTACGATGCGAGGACTGAGAGCAGAACTAGCAGTCAGGGGCTTGACCTCTCTGATGGCCTTGCTTCTGTGATCTCAGCCCCACACTGGGCCCTCCCGTCCCCAGATGCTGAGGGCAGGCTGTTTGTCTGTTGCAGAATGCGAGCACTTGATCCGCCACATGCTGGTGTTAGACCCAAGTAAGCGCCTCTCGATGGAGCAGATCTGCAAGCACAAGTGGATGAAGCTAGGGGATGACGATCCCAACTTTGACAGGGTGAGCTGTCTCTTGCCTTGAGGAACTCTTCTTTGAGCTGCTTCAGTCTGTTTTGCTTGTGATTGTAATCCAGCCTTGATCAGAAAAACTTGTGTAAACTGTAGCAGCAGAAAAGACGGTAAAGACCAGCTGATTTGCTGGAGAATGGTGGTAGTGGGTGCCCGCCATTTATCTCTAAGGCATAATGTTTTGTTTTGTTTTTGTTTTTATGGTAGTACAGCCTCCAGTTCTGCAGCTCACTCACCACCATGGAGATGTCTCCTTTTGTTTTAGTGTGCTTGGTTCAGTGTGTCCTGTGGCTTATTTAAACCCCTGTGACCATCTCAGGCACCCATGAAGGAAATGGGAATGTTGTCTGCTGAAACATGCTCATCAGAGCTATCTCACTTAGACTAAGGCCAAAAACATGCTCAGCTAAAGGCTGGAACAACGTGGTAGCTTATGTATGATATGGCATATCAGCATGGTTAGTCGGTGATTTGACAGCTTGGCACTTCGTGTTACAGTTAATAGCTGAATGCCAACAACTGAAGGAAGACAGACAGACAGACCCCCTGAATGAAGACGTCCTCTTGGCCATGGAAGACATGGGACTAGACAAAGAGCGTACACTGCAGGTACCCAGGAAGGCGTGGAGAGAGTGTGAAATGTAGCAGTCCTTCCTCTCCCGCCTTTTAGACTTGTTCCTTCTTCCTGAGAATTTGGGTCTTTTTGCTTCCTTCTCTTTTCTTCTTCCTCTGCCCATCCTGGGCCTGGGAAGGATAGAAAGTGCTTTGGTCTTCTAATGTTATTATTGAAAGGGTTCTGGTCATTGTCAGGCCATTTCATCAGGGTTTTTTACTTTTTTTCCCTTCTCTCTTGGTAGTCATTAAGGTCAGATGCCTATGATCACTATAGTGCAATCTACAGCCTGCTGTGTGATCGACATAAGAGACATAAAACCCTGCGTCTCGGAGCACTTCCTAGCATGCCCCGAGCCATGGCATTTCAAGCACCAGTCAATATCCAGGTGGGCAATACCTCCAGCGACCTAGTTCAGGACAGGTAACACCAGGGGGTAAGGGTTAGCTGCTGTTCACCATCCCCAAGTCAAAGTTTCGTGTTCTTCCAACTCTTTGATTTTGTTGGAGGCCAATCAAGATCAAGTCTTTCTTTGACAGAGGATGGCTAGCAACAATTGTTAGTTTCTTCTTTCTTTTTAAGAAATTGCAAATCATTACCCTTTCTAAAAAGAACACCTCTATATTGTGGCTTCTAAGGGCAAAGGAACCAAAGACGTTAGCAATCCAGACTACTTTGGAAAAAACCAGAGACATTATTTCCCTAAAGGGTCTAACTGTGTGCGTCTGCATGTTGCTCCTTTCCAGGCAGAGCAGGCCGGAACGGCCATGAACATCAGTGTTCCCCAGGTGCAGCTAATCAATCCGGAGAACCAGATTGTGGAGGCAAGTAGCAGCATCTGCTGGTCACCAGCTGAAATCCGTGCCTCCCACAGCTGCGTTTTCTTTCCTTCCTTCTCGTTTGTATTCATTGTGTTTCCCTCCACCTTAGCCGGATGGGACACTGAACTTGGACAGCGATGAGGGTGAAGAGCCCTCTCCTGAGGCCTTGGTCCGCTATCTGTCAATGAGGAGGCACACAGTGGGTGTGGCTGACCCGCGGTGAGTATCTGGGTAGCAGCTCTGCTCAGTACCAAGGCCAAGAATTCCCCTGCTTTATGCCATCTACCAAACAAGCTCCAACTAAGTGACTGAGACAAGCCTTAGCGATCAGGGACCCCGATATATCGGAATTCATTTGACTAAAGAATTGCAGTATATGTGTATGTATATGCATATAAAAATAGTTAAGATAGCTAAGAAAATAAGTAGAAGCATAGTGGCCTCCTTTGTCACCCCATGGCCTGCTCAGAAGCCAATTCAGTGCCCTTCACTGCACACCTCTGTAGGTCCTGCCTTCCCTCCTACATCTTGTCCCACACTTTCTGTCCCAGAGAGTGACCTCAGCCAGGACTCTGCCCACACCTGCTTTTACTTTAACTAACCCAGTGTGATCCATTTTGAGCTTGCTTTTGGATGTCTTAAGAAAGTTTTGATGTGCTGTAAGGTTTGGGTTTTTTTTGTTGTTGTTGTTTTTTGTTTTTGTCTTTTTTTTTTGTTTTTATCGGTACTGGGGATCGAACCCACGACTGCCTGCTTGCAAGGCAGGCGCTTATGCCGCTGAGCTAAATCCCCAACCCCTATGGTTTGGGTTTTTTTACATGTGAATATCCAGTTGTTCAGTATGTTTATTGAAGGTACAATCCTTTCTCCACTTAATTGCTTTTGAATCTTTGCCAAAAATCAATTGTCTGTTATGTGCCTGTTTGGGGACTTCAGAGTTGTTTAGACTATTCTGAGTCTTTTGTATTTTTACAGAAATACAGTAATCAGAAAGTTAATTTTTATGAAAAATTATGTTGGCATTTTGATAAGGGATTGTGTTTTCTGATCTTTATTATTTTCTATTTGTCTTTGGTTTTATTCTTTTATTTCTAATTTCTTAAGGAAAGATATGAGGATATTTCATAACTTTCTTCTTTCCTAATAAATGTACTTGGCGTTAAAAAAAAAAAAACACAGGAATGTGGGACACATGTGCAGAACGGTTCCCAAAGCCCTACGCACAGACTTTCACAAACACTGAAGCAAGTTTTCAGTGAGATGGCCTAAAGCTGGGTGTGATGGTGCATGCCTATAATCCCAGCAGTTGGGAGACTGAGGCAGGAGGATTGCTGTGAGTCCAAGGCCAGCCTGAACTACCAAGTGAGACCCTATCTCAAAAAATAAATAAATAAATAAAACCGTAGGACGGCCTAGACCTGCCCTCAGCCTGCAGCCTGGGACCGCAGCACACCTCACGGGTCCTGTACGTATAGACATTCTCGCAGGTTTCCTCTAATTTGGGCATTGTAAGAAGACACAGGTGCCAGAAGAGCTTGCTGTTGTGTCTTTCTACAGAAGAGCCTGCCCTGCTTTCTCCAGGTGGTTCTTTTATCTTGCTTCTCCCTCTTTTACTAGACCCAAGCTCACTCTGCAGAGCCAGTTTCGGTCTTACTCTTTACTTTTCCAAATAAGCTTTGCCATTGTTTTTTGAAAAAAAAAAGAATTGCCAAGAGTCATCCCCATTAATCACAGAACCTTGGTGAGGAGTATGAGAGGCCTTTTCCCAACAAAGACTGAGGTCTTCCAATCTCAGGCACTCAGAAGTACCCCTTAAAATTCACCTAAATTGGACAACTTTTAGAGACGATGTTTACCACGTTTCTTCAAGGCAGAGAGGACAGATGATAAGATATGACTTAATGTCTGAACAGTTGAAATTAGTGAACAGGAATCCAGAAACCCTCCAGCTCCCCAAAGTGTCTCCACAAAGCTCTCTTTCACAGTGTTCCCGCGCCACTCCTAATGGGGAAATGGACTGAAGGACAGCTGACTCCATTTCTGTTCCAAAAGACTCCCAACATTAAAAACAGCCTACCTCTTCTCTGAATATTTTTTTGGTGGAATAGAGAAGGATTGTGGCAAGAGTTCTCCTGAGAGTTCAGTTTGGGGGCAAGGCTGGTTTTCTTATATCTTTTTTTGCTGAGCGGATTTCAGACAAAGACTCCCCTGGCTCCCCTTGCTTCCTTTAGATTCCTTGTTCTCAGACTCTGATCAAACGGGCAGTAGGGGGAACATTCTGGCTCCACAGAATGTGTCAACTGCAAAGGGGCGGAGTCCTGAGTTGCTGCAAGTGGAAAAGCTCTTATTTTAAAGTCTGCTGTAAAACCTGCTCTTGTAGCATGACAGCCCTGTACGTCCAGTGCTTATCTGTCCTGTCAGCACTGGAGGAGTAATTGCATTCTTTCCCTGGTGAATCAGTTGTTACTTTGGGCAGCCATTCTCTGAGGGGATGGCTCACGCTGTCCAGAAACTTGCTGTTCACTTCGGGGCTTTGAAAACCTGAACTGGCCAAAAGCCAGTGTTTCCTTCTAGATCAGAGCTTTGGGTTTTAGTGTTTGGTCAGTGACTATCAGTGACTCCCAGACCCAAAGAGTAAATGGTGGGAGAGACCAATTCCACACATTAGGCTTCTGCTTTGCTTTGTGATCTTAGAGAAAAATACAAATGTAGGAGAAAAGTAAAGATAAATAAACATCCTAAACATAGCAGTATCATCAGGTTTAGGATTAAACGCTTCTGCATAAGAATATTAAGCACGCTTCTCTGTCTTTCTGTTTTCTATCAGCACGGAAGTTATGGAAGATCTGCAAAAGCTTCTACCTGGCTTTCCTGGAGTCAACCCCCAGGCTCCGTTCCTGCAGGTGGCCCCGAACGTGAACTTGATGCACAACTTGCTGCCCATGCAAAACTTGCAGCCAACTGGGCCGCTTGAGTACAAGGTACTCAGGTGTGGGAGAGGGACTGCCCCAACGAGACACAAACTTGAGCTTCCTTTGAGAGGTTTTGGAGGACCTTCAGGATCTCGGGACTTGAAGGTTTCCTTAGCAAGATTTCACTGTCAGAGCAGCTGGAATGAAAGGAAACATTAGTCCACATCACAACCAGAGAGGCCCTTGATTTCAGTAGATGAGAGAGCTGAGGTTGGCCCCTGCGGACCTCCACCTCACCAGTCTGTTGCACTGCTCTCCTCCGGCAGGAGCAGTCTCTGCTACAGCCGCCCACTCTACAGCTGCTGAATGGAATGGGCCCCCTTGGCCGGAGGGCATCAGATGGAGGAGCCAACATCCAGCTCCACGCACAGCAACTGCTGAAGCGCCCACGGGGACCCTCCCCACTTGTCACCATGACACCAGTGAGTAGCAGCACAGAATCCAGATGACATTCAGAAGTTTTTGGTGAAGAGGTCATGAGCCTAGAGTTGGGTACCCAGGGCCAACCTAAATGTCTGAATTTCTTCTTTCTCCAAAAATTTCATGCTCAGTATTTTCCCATGTCTTCAGTTTTTTCCAGTCTTTATTTTTGACCAATTTCTTCAGATCATTTCCCCTCAGAAGCCTGTTCTCCTCAGGACCCTGTTTAGGAGAGCACTCCTCAGCGGGCCACGTATGGCCTCTTGATTAAGTACAGCTGCAGTCCTGCTGCGTAAGGGCGGGCAGCAGTGGCCCCAGCTGGAGGCTTCTTCCAGAGGACTTTCCCCTGACAGAAGGCAGTTGAATCAAGCAGTATTCTCTGGAGTTACTTTTTAGATTGGTTTCCAAAATTACCATCTCACCAAGTCCTCCCCATTATCAGCACTGCTAGACGTTTTTGGTACACCCTGAATTGCCTGATTATTTGGCTCAAGCCTAGTTAATTGCTATCTTTCAATCACATTCAAAGATTTATAATGTGTAATGGTCACATTTAAAGATTGTTTTCCTCCGACAGGTTCTGCTTATTTCTGATTCTTTTTCTGTCATACATCATTCATTTGTTCTCATAATTCACTGTAAGACTGGATACTAATCATAGATCCATAGTCTTTATGAGATGTTTAGGGCAATGCTTCTTAAATTGTCTGTAGCTGAGGCCCTTTTTCTCTCTTCAATCCATTGTGGTTTGCTACTTCTGTAAGTTATAATCAAAGTGAATCAAAAATGAAATTTTAAAAACATAAAGCATAAGCTAATTTTAAAGTCAGTTCAACAAGGTTACGCCACACAATTATTATCATAAAAGTGTCTAGAAGCTTCCTTTTGATTTCTATAACTGATCTTATCATGGATTGATAACAAAACACCAGTGGACTGGCATTAGTTCATGCGCTATACTTTCTATAAAACTACAGAATTTTATATCACAGTTGTTGGTAGACTGAGTTTATGATACGGGAATACAAGCTCAACTTTAAAGTGCTAGTCAAAGACCATGTTAGATCAAGCGCCACAGTGAATAACATGACTGTTAGCTGGCGGAGGCATTCGGGAACAGGGAAGATCAGGATTGGACAGGAGACATCAGAACATGATGGGAAATGGGGTGATTTATTCTGTCCACTGGGAGGCTTCTGCCACAGTTATTAACAAGTGCTTGTTGATCAGTCCCATGGACATTTTAAAATCTTTGTCTTCTTGGATGCTCCAGCTCTATTAGTCACTGGTGACTTTTCCCCTGATTTAAAATCTTGTCCTTTTTGGGCTTCCTCCTTCTTTTTTAGTCTCCTTTTCAAATTTCCTTTCTGCTTGTGCCTTGAAGTTGACAAAACCCAGAGTTTTGTCTTAGGCCCTGTTCCTGCCTTGCTTGACATCCTGTCTCTGGATGAGCTTATTCATCCCATAATTTCAGTTGATTCTCCACACAGAATGCTCTTCTGAGAGCTGGGTATCTGGGATAGATATAGCTGGTTATGTCACAGGTGTTCACAGTTCTAATTCAAGTTAAGTGTAAGACAGATTCATCATGACTCTGAAATCGCCCCTCCCCTTGGAGGACAGTGAATGGTACTGTCGTCCTCCTGGTTGCTGTCCTCGTGAGGAATGTGGAGGTTAGTCTTTAGCTTTTCCTTCTCTCTTACTCTCTGCGTCAAATCGCTTGTCTAGCACCTGTGAACTGAGCATCTGCCTTCTGCCCATCTCCACCTTATCTCACGTCACTGGCATCCTTGCCTGCATCGTCACAGTTGCCTCCTACCTGGCTTACTTCTATCCTGTCTTTTCTCCTGAGCCCTTCCTCCGGCCTTAGTCTCCTGTGACGGCCTGTAATTATCATCTATTTTTAAAAGATGTTCTTTTGTGGTAGTTCAAGTGTGATTTTACCCTAGTGCCCGAGGTGTGGTGATTATGTGAACCACCAGACGTGTAGCTGGAACAGGCCGTCACAGTGACGCATGCATTGTGGTGGTTCTCACTTGACTTACATGTTCTGGTGGGTCACTGCTATTTTAAGGCAGCAGTTGCAACTCCTCAAGTATATGTTATATATGAAAATGTGCTTCCAAAAACAGGGTATGCCTTTCTGGAGTTAAGACATCTAAACACTGGAAATAACTTTAATATGAAACCAGAGCAGTTCCTAGACATTCTAGGAAACAGTTTTCTACTATATTTCCAGGTCCTTAAACACCTGCAGGGTTTCTCTTTTTTCTGTAGCCTACAAAACCGTGATTCTTTTCCTCTTTGCCTAACCAGCTCCCGAGTGTCCTTCAGGTCTCGATTAGGAGGTTCCTCCTTCACATTGCTTTGCTACTTCCCAAGAACCGCTTTAAATGACTTTAAAGATTTAGTTATGTTTTTGTAATTGTTTATTTGCTAATCGCTGTTCTCTACTAGACTAAAAAAGAGGGCAAGGACTATATCTGTAAATTCATATTTTATCTTGTAACGTAATTGGCATTCAGTATTTATGGGATAAATCAATGAATGAGAATGAATAAAAAGAAAAAAATTCAAATTATGATCACCTGAGCAAGGTAAAAATGAAAACAGAGGTATATGAAAGTATTGTTGTAACCCAGAGGTTCTAGAAAAGTTTTGTAAAAAGGAAGTTTAACAGCAAATCTTGCCCCACGCCTGGCTTGTTACAAGAGGATGAGGCAAAGAATATGCTGCCACCTTGAGCTTTTCTTCTCTGTTTCTCTTCAGGCAGTGCCAGCAGTTACCCCTGTGGACGAGGAGAGCTCAGATGGGGAGCCAGATCAGGAAGCTGTGCAGAGGTAATGTGACATCTGGCAGTGCTTGCAGAACGTCCTTGGGCAGGCTCCCCCTGCAACCAGCGAAAGGTCGCCTCTGCCCAAGGAGGTGGTGCAGTGCAGCTTCAACCTGTGTGTGGTCTCTTTGCTCAAGCCTGATGGCATGTTCCTCCCCACATGGAAGTAACAGAAGACTACCCAGAAAGTTCCATTTGTATAAACGCCATTGGAAGTCCCCTAAGTGAAGCAATAACCATAAGAACTTTTTCTCTTCTCCCTCCTTCTTTCCTTGCCCTCTGCCTTCACATTGTAATCATAGTATTCACAAGGCACAAAGCCTGCTCCTACCTGCCAAGAACTGTTTACTGAAAAGGAATTGGAGATTTGGGATGACAGTGATCCTAGCTAGTCTGGCCATGGACCGCTGGCATGGACTCTTCCTTTCCAGGAGAATGAATACCTCTTGTACTGTTTGCTGTGTTTCTTCCTCTCCTTTGTACCAACAAAGGGATATTGAAAGAAAGAAAACAAAAACAAAAGAATATGGGATTTGGGTCAGGGCATATCTGTTGTTTGCAGAACCTTGCTGGTCGATGCCTGATTCCAGAGAATGGCAGCAACCACCAGGCATGCCGCACTGTTCATTTGATTTCAGTTTTATTAGCCGTGGTCCTCAGCTCCATGCATGCCCTCTTGTGGAAGCTGTTTTATTTTCGGGGGAGGGGATTTCACCAGAATCTAGCATGTATTTTCCCAGAAATACAGGTGTTCATCAAGATTATATGTTTTCCCTTGAGGGAAATTGAAATAAAATGGTTTTCATGGGCTCTTGGGGAAATTTTGGGTGTCTTTATCAAATGGATATTAAACCACTAATGTCTTACTCTTTGGCAAGTTTATATATCACTAATTACTCCACAGTCTGTTCACTAATTGTAGCTTAAATGGATAAAGTGGTTAATAGGACTTATTTTTAAGAACTTGATAGTTGCTTGGCAGGACTCTGCCTACCCCCAGGAGCTCTGTGTAAGAGCTGCTATTCAAAAAGAAGCTGATTCCATATGAAAAGCAACAGTGACAACAAACATAGTGAATGGGAGTGGTGGCAAGTGGGCTAGCGCGCATACAGCTTAGCCAATGGAAGGAAAATCGTGTCGACTTTTTTCCCTTGATGCTGCTGTTTTTATAAATTACATCAAGATATAGAAGGTTGTTAGATGAGTCCTTAACGGTAGCATGAAAAAATGAGAGGTTAGACTGATGCCTTCTTACCTTAAAAGAGACAGCAATGTTTTATGTTCTTTGTCTCATACTTCTTTCAGCTCTTCTTTCTTCTTTAGACCAGCATTATAATGTCCATCAATTTCAATGTACAGAAAGGAATAAAGCCTCTCTTGTTCATGCCCTAGAAGTGCAGTCTTGGCACGGAATTCATCTACCAGATAAAAACGACTGGTATCTTAGGGGTGGTGTGGACTGTGTGGGTCTGGAAGAGCTTCAGCGGAAGAGTCATCAGCATGTAACTCTTGGGCTTTTGAAACTCTTCCATTCTTTGGCCTTGCTTTTTTTCCCTTTAAAAATCTAAATCTTACCTGTGGTTTTATTTCTTCATACTCGACAGAATGTTGCTTCCCCGGGGACCGCATTGGTTTTTCTTGTCTCGTGGTTGGGTTGTAATCACAGGCATGAGGGAGGAGGTAGTTCTGGAACTCATCCATCCTTTAACGTTGTCTGTGACCTGTAGTAAGCCTCAAAATCTGGTCCTGTCAGATCTGAAGACATAGGTAGAATCCTTGGCTTATGTCTAAGAAAGGCCTTAGGGCTCGTTTTCTCTTACTTTTGGAAATGTAGAGGCAACGGAGCAATAAAATCAGCATGTAGAAAAATAAGTTCTTCCGTTCAGTGAAACAAAATAAGGAAAACTGTTCCTCTTTGTGAGATCATCTGCTCGCTCTCTCCTCTTCAGTGACTGCTCTCAGGTTCCAAATGCAGCCGCTTCAGTGACAAGCCAGCTTTTGTTGGCCAGTTAGAAGTGCTCGTAGCTTCCCCCCAGTCCGGGGTCTGTGTGTCGTGGAGCCCTTTCGGGACTCCGGCACTGTTTCACTGAGTGTGTTGGGTTAACATCTGCTGCTTCTTGTGGAAGAATATTCCTGTCTGTCTTTTTTACTATGAAATGTGCTCCTGCTTGTTGCAGGTACTTGGCAAATAGGTCCAAAAGACATACACTGGCTATGACCAACCCTACAGCTGAGATCCCACCGGACCTACAGCGGCAGCTAGGACAGCAGCCTTTCCGTGCCCGGGTCTGGCCTCCTCACCTGGCACCTGATCAGCATCGGTGAGTAGCCACGTGGCAGTGTGCGCTTCTTGAGGCTTATCAAACAGGCGCCCTTCTTACTAGTCTCCCAGTGCTGGGGACTAGCTTGATGTAGAAAGCACCCGTCATCCTGAACACACGTCTTCTCAGCTCTTGGGCCCTAGAACAGGGTGAGATTCTTCTTCCCCGTTACCTTTGTATTAGCAGTTGGATCCCTTAATTCAGAATGTTGACTCAGGTGAATTGAACTTGAGACCTTTAAGGAAGTGAAGTTCTCAAAAGGACTTGTAGCAGTAACAATAGACTTGATTTTATGTCTTGGAAAAGAAAGAGCACCTCATGTCATGTTACTGCTGAACAATTTGATGTGGAGGAAAGTCTGTGCGCTGTGAGGGTAGGACAAGGATATTGCATCCTCTAGAGTGATGTGCTTGAAAAGTCATTCTTTCCATGTTTGATGGCAAAATCTTGTCCTGGGTCTCTGTTACACTGTTAACTCATTCTCTTGAAGAAATAAAAACAAGTTTTAGCTTTCCTGACCAGGAAAACTTCATTGACTGTAAGTTAGCCCAGACGCAGGGAGAATGATACTGTGCTAGAATAAGAAGATGGTTGTCTTCAGTGAAGAACTTGATGACTGTAAATCTTAATTGTATCTGTTCTGAAGCTATTCCAGGCTCATCCCCCGCCCTCCAAAGTCACCATCAGTGGCTAGAATTTATTTCAGCCATTTTGGGGAATGACAAACATTCCTAGTTGTGAAAATTAAAAAATAGGTAGATTCTAAGGAAGTAAAAATCACATGTGTGTTGTTAGGAAGTCCTGCAGTCAGCTCACACAGGCAAGCTTGCCACAATGTTTTTATTGTGCTAGTTCCCCAGGGCATCATGTAATCAGCAGAGACAGGTGAACTCTGAGCAGACTGTGACGTGATTAGTGCCACGTTGGCACTCAAGGAGGACGATAAGGTTTTATACATGACTGTGAATAGTTTAACACAAATGGTCTGTTAGCAAGAATGAAGATTTTCAAGAAAAGTCTTTTGGCACAGAAAGACAGTCTTTTTCAAATAAAAGTCTCCCAGGACTGACATTGCTTGTGCACATTAAAGAGCATTTTGATTCTCGAAGAGCTGCCCTATCCTCGCCCTATAACTTTCCTGCAGCCACTCTCCACTTTGAGCTCTGTGCTGGTCACCTAACAGATGCCTTCTGTTTTTTCCTTTCTCTGTCTTTCTTTCTGCCAAGCTTGATAATTTTTTAGCCCTCATCAGGGTCTGTTAGCTTATGTCCTTCAAGTATTTTGTTTATTTCTAGGTGTCTTTCAGAAGTTATTCTTTCAGGGAAATGAAGATCAGCACATTTCCTGTTAGGCTTAGTCACAGACTCTCTACTACGTTGACATTTGTTGCTAGAGAACCCATAGCTCCATATGTGTGACATCCGCCCTGCCTCCCATTGTTGTCAAGGTTCACCTGCTAGAAACCTACTGTCTGTTTTCATATGAACACTTAGTAGAGTGTTCCTTGGATGGCCAACGCAGTTTGAATTGGAAGCAAATGAATGCTTTATAAGTGGCAGATTGGATACAGTAGGGCATTTGTGTAAACTCCGCATTCTCGGTGGAGTTGCTATCCAAATATGCAACACAAGAGATTGAAGTTAGTCTTCAGAGAAAAAAAGAAACTTTCCAAGACCATAAGACACTGAAAATAGATGACCCAAGTAGATTATTGAATTCCTTTCAGATTCTGGAGGAAATGATCAATCAGAGAGAGAGTGTATGTGTCTTCTTTGTGTGTGGAGGGGAGAGTGCTTGAACCCAGTGCGTCTGCACTGGTACAGTAGATGAAATCTAACCTGGAGACAGAAAAGGAGTCTGTTTAATCTTTCTACTCCTAGAAGTGTGACCTAAAATTTTGTAAGTGTAACTAAAATAAATTAACACAAGATGGATTCTATTCAGGGAAGCCAAGTCCTGTTTAAAGAGTAGAGTGGGGGATAACTTAATGTGAGGCTTTCTGGAGTTTGAACACAATTGATAAGAAAAATACAAACCATCAGTGCTTCTAAAATAAACAGCTATCAGAACTGTTCCTCTCAAGTTGCTTTGCTGGGAATCAGTCTGTTTACCACCTGAGCTTCTGAAAGTCATGAAATACCTGGACCTGAGATGTTACTCCTCTGATGAAAGAAAATGGCAAAAAGCCTGCATTGACTGCTTGAAGAACGCAGCTTTCTTAATGCATCAGAAACGTCTATTATAAGGTTTCCATTATCTCAAAATATTGAAAACATAGGACTCGAATTTGAGAAAATGCTTGCTTGCTTGAACTCAAATCTGAAGTAGAAACAAAAAAGAAAAATTTTGGAAACGTGCTTCTGAAATCAGCTTTCCTGATCACTATGTCTGGATTATGTCCCCCAAATCATGTGTCTTTGTGTCATTGAAGCAGATACATGCTCACACTCATTTCATTAGCTCACTTCCTTGTCACGCTCCGTCCGGGTAAAGTCTAAGCAGAAGTCAGTGTCAGTAAGGAGGAACGAGGGCTTTCATCTGCCGCCCCAATTCTTTCGCCAGCTCCGCGCAGTCATCATTTCTCCTTGAGTCCCTTTCTGTCTGCATTGTATTTGAACTCGCTTATTAACCCGCTTCCTTAGCCTGGTTCTGCTTCAGTCCAGAGTGAGTAACTGGCAAGGTGAGCCATGATTTCACCCATAGCTCAGTGTGACGTCATCTCTGCCCTGGACATGGAACCCTGACCTCCCCATCAGCTGCTGAATGCTGCCGTGGCAGCCTTTTATCTGCTTGCCTCAACCCATAAGCATCTCTGTGTGGGTAGGGAACGAGTAAAGGTGTCCGCTTCTGACCCTGGTGCTGTCTCAGGCATTCCTTATCACTAGCTTGTTCTTTCTTTCTGTAAGATACTGGCTGTGTTCTGAATGAGCAGCGGGGTCTTTGAAGGTAATGCACATGATTCTTCTGTCAATCGGAGGCCGGGCGGGCGCCGATGTGCTAAGGAGTTAGTATTCACAGTGGGTAACTGCATTTGTGGTCTCAAGGTACATGCAGGATTTTGAGGCCCACATGCCTTAAGAATGTGCTATTGCCATCCTAGGATCAGAAGTCCCCATCCCCCGCCCCCACTTTTACCTCCACCCTCCCTTTTCTAGCACACAACTGTGAGTCCCAGGCCAGACCTTTGACCACAAAACTGACTGTAGTTTCACTCTGGTCCTTTGGAGATTACTGCTCAGGGAAAACAGTGTGTCAGACAGTGAGGTGTCTAGTAGCACCATATGGAAGTGTGATTTTTAAAGCCAGAGCTCCTGAACAGCTGGTCCTGAGGGTATTGAGGAGCTTCTCTCTGGTTTATAAGAACTGGTTATTTGATCCCTGAACGACATCAGGCCTGGAAGGTAGGCCAGCTGAAGGTACATGGAGATGGAAAATGTATACCCGGAGCCTCTAAGGGGTAGCAGACTAGAGAAGTGACCTTCTGTAAGTGACATGGAGGTAGCATAATATGCAGGGCTACACATGTAGTCAGCTGTCTTTGTGTCATCTGCACCAGCAGTCAGAACCCCTGAGTCCTAGCCCTAACCTTCTCTTCCCGTATATTCAGCTCCACCTACAAGGACTCCAACACCCTGCATCTCCCTACGGAGCGTTTCTCCCCTGTGCGCCGGTTCTCAGATGGGGCTGCAAGCATCCAGGCCTTCAAAGCTCACCTGGAAAAAATGGGCAACAACAGCAGCATCAAACAGTTGCAGCAGGTAATGGGAGAGGTATCCGGCGTCTCCGTAGAAGCATGGGTAGCAGACTTACACTGCAGGAGACTAGGGTGGTGTCTGACCCTTCATGCCAGCAGCGCCAGTTTTACTGGTTAAAGTGTAGCTTCTTAATGCTCTTTCCTTACTCCTCGTTAGACATAGCTCTCCCCAGGATCAAACCTGCTTTCCCCATGAAAGGACTGCGTGTTTCTCTTGGCTGTGTAGTTCCTTGGAAAGGAATTTCAGGGCTTGGGTTTGAGTGGGAAGCAAGGTACTTCTAAGCAAGCTGGGCATTCCTGCATGATGTAGAATGCTGGGTTACACCTTGTCTTACTGTCCACTTGGTTTGGAATGGTGCTCTTTGAGGCAGACTTCTAGAAAGGACCAATTTTCCCTTCTGCTTTCCAGATCACATCTCAAGTGGCAAGTGCTCTGTACACAAGATTTTCATTGGACACCATGCACACACAGGCTTTAGTGTATTCTTGGTATTTCCCATTCGTTCACACAGAGCAGAGTGTAAAGATACTTAGTATACAGATACCTGTATAAGTGGGCCAACTATTCATCAAGGATGTTGTTCTTTTGTGTTCCTTCTGCCCATGAGACCCTGAGCAGATCTGCATCTGCTGAGATCGTGGCATGGGGCAGGCCTGGCTGCATCCCATCTGTATTAAATACTTTCCCTTCAGGAGTGTGAGCAGTTGCAGAAGATGTATGGAGGGCAGATTGATGAAAGAACCCTGGAGAAGACCCAGCAGCAGCATATGCTATACCAGCAGGAACAGCACCATCAAATTCTCCAGCAGCAGATTCAAGTAGGCTTTACTCTTTGTTTTCTCCAACTTGTTTGGAGTTTGTTTTCAGGCTGATTTGCCTATGCATTTTGGAGGAGAGCACTCAGGACAAAGTGGAGTTGTGTTAAGTGTTTGGCTGACGTATTTGAGTAAAGGTAACCCAACCTTTGGATGAACAACAAAAACATAAATCTGAGTCACAAACAGTTCTTTCTGTTTCTGCCCTGCCTGGGAATAGCTCTGACGAGTCTTCAAGCTCACAGTTGTTCTTTTCTCTCTCTCCCATGTCTGTTTTAGGACTCTCTCTGTCCTCCTCAGCCTTCTCCGCCTCTTCAGGCTGCGTGTGAAAATCAGCCAGCCCTCCTCACTCACCAGCTCCAGAGGTAATGAGTCACTGCCTTTGTGCTGAAATTGTTAGTCCTAAAGCATGTCCTCCTTGGCCTAACTCTTACAGGAGATAATTGATCAACTTTAACATTCGTTTTGGAAGAATCTACTTGAAAAACAGAAACCACCTTAAGTTTGAGAGCCTGATGTCCTGTGCCTCTTCATTTTCTTAGCCCCAAGAACAAACTAATCTGACACCTGCCAGTGGAGGTTAGGCAGTCTTACAGTGGACTGTGCCTCCATGGTGGGAAAATGTGGTGAGACAGATGTGGGTAGATACTTGGTTGACTGGGTTGGATGACTTATGTATGCATTTCTACTGTGGTGGCTTGTCAAAATAAAAAGGAGGTGGTTCTTGCGTGTGTTTATGACTAACATGTCAGATTGTTGTGTCACTTCAGAAAGCTTATCCGTCTTGTCATTCTTAAGGTTACGGATCCAGCCTTCAAGCCCACCCCCCAACCACCCCAACAACCATCTCTTCAGGCAACCAAGTAATAGCCCTCCCCCTATGAACAGTGCCATGATTCAGTCTCACGGTGAGTGGAGAGGTCCGGGCGGAACCATGTGCCACACAAGCAAAATGCCTGTCATGGTCTTTTGGCTGTTTTCTTTTCGTTTTCCTTTCTTTTTTCGGTTTCATTCTGTCTTGTCTTCACCATGTTAGTTTTGAGTGCTGTTGGCCATTTGAAAGGTAGTATTTAGCGGTAGGGGCTCTCGAGCCAGACTACCTTGGTTTGAACCCTGGTTCCACCAATTTCGTGTCTCTGGTACCTTAAGTAAATTATTTAACTTCTGTGGCCTCCACTGTCTCATTAATAACAATAGGTAATGAATATATCTGTAAAGCACCAGGAACAGTCTCTGACACAAATAGTTCCCAGTAAAGGTTCTGTTACTCATATTTTTATCAGTAACCCCCGCCCCCGCCCTGCCCTACCAGATAACGGTTCTGCAGCCAGAACTTCCCTATTGCCACGCCTGAGTCTGGTTACCATGGTATGTGCAGGTCACTCTCTGGAGCGAGTGTTAGATGGAGGCGGAGTCCAGGTCTTTATCAGCCTTTCTTCCCATTCCTGAGAAGAGTTTGCATCTGGGCCTGTCCTAAAGTATGCTTCCCTGAACAAGAGCATTATTAGCAGGCACACTAGAATTTCAGGTCCTATCCCTGACCTGCTAAATCAGAATGTGCACTTAACCAGATCCCTAAGTTATTTGATTGCACATTCAAGTTTGAGGTGCACTGCATAGATCTGACGTACTCAAAGTATAATCCATAGACCAGCTTTTAGGAGAACTTTTTGGAAATACAAATTCTTGGGAACCCACCTTAACCTACTGAATCAGATCTCTGTGGGTAGGATGTGGGGAATCTGGGTGAAACAGGTTCTGTGGCTTAGGATGCCTTATGCATCCCAAAGTCTGAGAAGGCTGTTTTTGGTGCTATCTGATGTGAGTTTCCTCATTAGCTCCTTGCTTCAAGCTGGCATGTAACCTGGGCACTTGGTCACTCTGAGGTCCCTTCTCTCCAGGTGCTGCAGCTCCCTCCCAGTTCCAAGGCTTACCCTCCCACAGTGCAATCTTCCAGCAGCAGCCTGAGAACTGTTCTCCTCCTCCCAGTGTGGCACTAACCTGCTTGGGCATCCAGCAGCCTACCCAGTCACAGCAGGTGACCATCCAAGTACAAGAGCCAGTTGACTTGCTCAGCAACATGCCAGGGACGGCTGTGGGCTCCACCGGGCGGGGCATCTCTATCAGCCCCAGTGCCAATCAGATTCAGATGCAGCACCGTTCCAACCTGATGGCCACCTTCAACTATGGGCACCGACCCTTGTCCAAGCAGCTCAGCGCTGACAATGCAGAGGCCCATAGGTAAGGCCGCCCCGTGTCACCCAGCCCTCTTTCTATGCGGGCTCTGTTTGGTGGGGGAGGAAGCTCCTTAGCAGTGTAAGGGAGAAGAGGGACTGAGAGTGGTCTGACCAAGATACTCATTTCACACTCTCTAAAGTCCAGGTGGTGGGTTTGGCATGAGCTTTGTGACCGAAGTTAAAGACCTGGAATTAAAATGAGCAGAGAAGTGCTGAAACAACGTCACTAATTGCAAAAAAGAAAACTCCTATTAGAAGAGTGTACAGAAATACCAGCTCTCCTGTCTGTTCTTTTAGGAGTCTTTCTCTGTCAGTCTTCTAAGAGGTTAATGTCTTTTAATACCTCAAGTGGCATTTTAAGATAGGCCAGATGCTGCCTCGAGGTAATGGTGCTAGTGGTGTGCTGAGTCCCATGGAAGAGCTGGATGTGTGAGGGGCAGGTAGAGCGGGTGCCTCTGTGTCCCTATTGTCACACTGCAGCTCTCTGTGCCAGGTGCTTCCTGGTGAGGGAGACCGGTAGCTATTCCTGGGGAAGTCTAGCACATTTGTTAAGGTTGCCTGGTACTCACTTCCTTTTGTGTTTGCAGCTTGAATGTGAATCGGTTCTCCCCTGCTAATTACGACCAGCCTCATTTACATCCCCATCTGTTTTCGGACCAGTCCCAGGGTTCCCCCAGCAGCTACAACCCTTCACCAGGAGTGGGGTTCCCTCCAACCCAAGCCTTGAAGGTCCCTCCACTTGACCAACTCCCCACCTTCCCTCCCAGTGCACATCAGCAGCCACCACACTATACCACATCAGCACTACAGCAGGCCCTGCTGTCCCCCACACCACCAGACTACACCAGACACCAGCAGGTACCCCACATCCTTCAAGGACTTCTCTCTCCCCGGCATTCGCTCACTGGCCACTCAGACATTCGGCTGCCTCCAGCAGAGTTTGCACAGCTTATTAAAAGGCAGCAGCAGCAGCGACAGCAGCAGCAGCAGCAGCAGCAAGAGTACCAAGAATTGTTCAGGCACATGAACCAAGGGGATGCCGGGAGTGTGGTCCCCAGCCTCGGGGGCCAGAGTATGACAGAGCACCAGGCTTTATCCTATCAAAGGTCTGACTCCTATAACCATCACCACACCAGCCCCCAGCATCTTCTGCAAATCAGGGCGCAAGAATGTATCTCCCAGGTGTCCTCGCCTGCCCCGGCCCATGGGTATGCTCAGCAGCCGGCGCTCATGCACTCAGAGAGCATGGAGGAGGACTGCTCGTGTGAGGGCGCCAAGGAGGGCTTTCTGGACAGCAAGAGTTCAAGTTCATTGACCAAAGGTTGCCATAACAGCCCTCTACTCTTGAGTACTGGTGGACCTGGGGATCCTGAATCTTTGCTAGGAACTGTGAGTCATGCCCAAGAATTGGGGATACATCCCTATGGACATCAGTCAACTGCTGCGTTCAATAGGAATAAGGCACCCAGCCGAGGTAAGAGTCTCTCAGTAAAAGTCCTGGTCCATTGTGTCACCCAGTAATGGCGGTTTGTTTCAGCTAATACTCTGTGTTCCTAAGAGAGCAAGAATGCCTGAGAAGACCTGGACCATTTGGCGACAAGCATGGAGAAATGGTTATTGATGGGTGAGGGGTTCATTTTCCAAGAACAGTAGTGACAGACAGGTAACAACTAGTACAATCAGTATGATATAGTGTCTATTTGTTCATACCATCATTTCTTGGAATCCAGAAATTCTGTTTTCAAAATAGCTTCTACAGTAGGAAAAAAGTTAGCCAGCATTATGGAAATTTAGTATAAATAGTAAGGCCAAGTCATAAAGCACTTTAGTACTGGTCTTACCTCTATCATGAGTGTGATATCCCAGTCATATGGACCCATTGGTGTCTATCCTAACAGTTTATCCTAATCATTTTTCTGTCTGTGAAAGAAGAGCAGGAGGAATAATGGTCCTTTGCAAAGTTTTGTGATGGTTCAAATGGTTTCATTTATATATAATGTTTGCATGGGAAAAATGAGGAAAACACTTGCTATTCTGAAAGGTACAGCATAAATGTATAAACAGTGTTATTACTCTGGCATTTCATCAGTGTGCTAATTACATTATCAGAGAGGCTCCATGCCGTTTCATTTTGTGTCACTTTATAATGAATGAGTGCATTCATTTTCATCTCAAGGACAAAAAGATTGCCTCAATAAAGTAGTTCCATTAGCATCTTAGTATTCATCCTAGACAATAGGAATTTCTGTCTTGCCAGCATAGACCTTGCAGTTTACACTCTTCACCATAGCCAGCAAAGGAATAGAAGTAAATTTATACATAAACTACCCAACCCCGAAGCCGAGCATTTCTTTTTTCCTTCCCTCCCTGGCCTTACTTGCATCTCCTCCCCTGTCCAGTAAAGTCAGTGCACAAAACTCAGCTCCAAGAGGGATTAGGTCCTGTAGTACAGAGCATGTTAGAACACCTGGCACCAAACCGGGGAAGTAAAAGAGGCTTGGTGGTTTTAGGTGTACTCACTCACTGCTCTGAGAAGAGGGAAATACAGTTGCATAAAACGCAGTTAAACCCTGGGCTTTCAAACGGGGTGCGTCATCCAGCCTAGAGATCTTCCCTGGCTGATGTGTCATGACCACCTGTGGCTGCTGCACGTAGACAGGCAGCAGCTTTTAGGACAGGTCATATGTGGCATGGCAGTGTTTAGGTTAGGAAGGAGTAAGTGAGGAGGAGGAACACGTCTGTGCAAAGAGGTTAGACTTTTCTGGTTTGTGGGATGGGTAGAAACAAGGTCAAGTTACAAGTTGTAGCACATTTCCATCCCCTACAAAGATGTCTGCAAGATCTCTATAGAACAGGCTAGAAGCTGCCTTTTGGAAGTGTTTGGTAAACCAAATTTGGGGTGCTTGTGGGGAAAGCTTTAAGATCAGCATCTTATAACTGGCTTAAAAGGAAAATACTTGATGTTTCTATTGCACTTTCCATGTACAGACACCAAGTGCTATTCATATGTAAACTCACCGGAGGGGCCAGGATGTAGCTGAGCGGCACAGAGCCTGTCTGGTAACCCAAAAACAAACAAACGAATTCATTTGATCCTTAGAACAACCCACTGTCTCCGTTCTACAGTGAGACAGCCGAGTCATAGGGATATTGCCTCGAGATGAAGGGCGAGCAAGTGGCAGCTGCAGCCCATTACTCGTGTCACTCCGCAGAGTCCGAGCGTGCCCTGGTTTGCAGAGCACTGAGGTGGGAAAAGCCGAAGGGAGTGTGGTGTCACCCTGTGTCCCTCCCTGGCCCTTGACCACTGTATATTTTAAGTATCTTTTGAAACATTTCTCAGGCGTTCGCTTTACTGTCCCTCCTGTGTGCCTGCTGGCACAGAAAGGCTGGAGAGCTTACCTTTGCCGCTGAGCCCTGGCGGCCGGAGAACTCCCTCTAGCAGGCTGCTGACTACCACCAGCAGGCAGACCTGGATCTGTGCTTGTGCCGGGGTGGCCACAGAGGAGGGAGAGGTCAGCTGTACCTCAGGGAATGGGGTACATTTCCAGCAGCTAAGTGGCACTGAGTTGGATCTTGGTGGATGGAGAGGATTTTGACATTTGGGTTTAGAGAAAAAGCATAAGGAAAGAACGAGGAGGAGTAAATGTCTCGGGGAAGTTTTGGGGCCAGTGGGAAGGGTTAGTATGGAGTGCAGGATCATAAAGAAATTAGTAGAAGCCAGGAAGAGAGGTTATTGCACAATATTATCTAGATCCAGCTGCAGATGTGCCACAGGAATTGTAGTACGCTTGCAAAACTGCTCTCCTGGCAGTTGTAGAGCAACTCACAGATCATTGTCCCTGTGAGATCCCTCCTTTCAACTCTGAGGACTTGCTTTAGGTCAGTACCTGGTAGTTGTGGTACTTTCGTCCAATCTGTCCTACTTTTTCCTCCAGTTGATTGGCCACCATCATTTCTCTCCCCCTTCTCCTTACATTCTTAGGTCACCGTCACTGTCACTGCCACTACCTCTGTAGACATCTCTATCAGACTGTCTGTGTAACCCTGTCCTGACCTTGTAGCGTGCCAGTTTTGCTGGGTGTCCCCCTCCTTTTTCTCCATCTTTCCCCTCTAACCTTTAATAAAAGGTCTTCTTAGCTGTACCCTTTACTCCTGCTGTGCACGTCAGTACACTGGCACATAACCACCCTGCAAAGTATATGTTAAGATTTCTTTTTACAGTAGAAATGGTTTGACCTGACCACCTCACCCTTAAAAACTTAAAAGTTTAGCATTTTTATTTTACTAGAGAATCTTCAGATCTTTTGCTGAGAAAGGGTTACAGTGCGGTCCCTATGACCTGCAGGCAAGTGTGGGGAGCTCAGCCTGTCTTTCTGTCTGCTGTTTCCTTTACTAACCCCTCCATCGCTACAGAGTTACACATGAACCTCCAAACTTCAACTGTGACTGCTGTGGTAGAGCAAATTCAATACAGTTTATTGCATATCACAGGTGTGGTGAGATTCAGAGAGGAAAAGATAAAGGATCTGTCCTCAGGGAGCATCTGTTCCACTGAGGGAAGCAAAACAAGCCAGTAACTTTAACATGAAGTGCTGTGTAATGAGTGCTTCAAGAGGTCTAATTAAAAAGAACAGCTAGAATTTCTTGAAAATAGATGAAGAAAGATCTTGGTATTAGTCAAGGAAACTGAGGTGCCACCATGGTATCATCGGTGGTTTCCTATTTCCTGGATGGCTGTCTGCCACCAGCCGTTGGGAGGCCAGGCACTGCCTGAGCACTGACCACGCAACGTGCCGAAGGTCTCTTGGCAATGCACGCAGTTTCAGAGTTGTCCCTGCCCTGAGCTCCCTGTACCCTCTGTGTTGCCACTTGACAGGTAAAAAATGAAGACTGTCTTCCTTCCATGGTGTCACATAGACTTGGTCTTTTGACTTTGTAGATGAATAAATACACCAGTGCAGCCAGTTTACACAACGAGATAACCAGTTTGAACTCACAAGGAAAACGACAGCCTCTTCTCTGAGCTCAGTCAGCTTCAGCATTGTTACTTAACGCTTCAGAGAGGTGGGAGACACTGAGGGCCTGAGAGAGGTTACCTTCAGAGCCTTTGAAAGAATGTCGTTTCTCTCATTTTTCTCTTAAAAGCCCTGTAAATGTGTAAAGATGAGTCAACTTTGACAGTGTCAGTACTGAGTTGTGCAAGCTGCCCAGAGTTCCCTAGGTAGGGGTGGTATACATCATGTCCATTTGAGCATTTTTCCCGCTTGTGTGATCAGACAAATATCCGACCCACTGTACTCTCTCAGCTTTACCTTGGTAAATACTTGTGTGTGGACCTCTTGAAACTCATCCCCTTTTCATTATTTATATCAGTGAGCCTGGCTGTTCCTCTAGCTGCTGGACTGGTGTAAAGGATGCCAAAGATCTGAGCCTAAAGCCCATAGCTACTGCTGAGTGGGTTCGTCTGCTCACCACCCCACAGGGGATAGTAAGTCCACCTGCAGGGTGTCACAGAGGACTTCTAGTTGTGGGCTCAGCATTCTTACTAAAAATACTTGTGTAGTCCTTCCTAATTTATCAAAGCCCCTCTCATTTATGTTAATTTTTGGAATCCCCGAGCAACTATCATTTTTCAGCTAGGGAACTTAATGTAAGGAGAAGTTTAACAACCTGCCCAAATTTACATACTCTCTTGGTACTTGAGCTGGGTCCTCGTCTGAAGTTTCCTGATTCTTTGGTCTTCTTTCCTTCATGTTTCAATGTTAGTCATCTTCCTATTGCTGGCACAAAACAGCTGAACTAGTCAATTGACAAAGAAGAAAGGGTTCTTCTGGCTCATGGTTTCAGATGTTTCAGCCTGTGTTGGGCTGGTTCCGTTCCTTTTGGGGCCATCATGAGCCAGAACTTCACCATCCAGAATGCATGGTGGGGCGACAACTGCTCACCTCGTGGTGGCTTGGCAGGAAAAGAGTAAGAAGAGGGATGGAGGCCTAATCCCCGTCAAGGACATGCCCCCAGTACCTACCTTCCGTCCCAGAGATCCACCTCCTAAAGTTTCCACCCCCTTCCAAAACCACCACAGGCTGAGGCCGGGCCTGTAGCACATGAACCTTCTGGGGTCATTCACTGCAGATCACAGCAGCCTCCTCGTCTCCAAGACTCCGCACCTTCCAACCTCAACTGCCATGTGAAAGACAGTGGTTTCTCCAGGTCTCTGACCCATCAGTTACTCTGAAACTTGAACAGATAAAGCCCTGGTTTGAACAGACAGAGCCTAGTTCCTATATATTTATTTTATCTGGTTCTGTTCTGTTCCACTTACCAGAGATTAAACCAGAGGCCTGTGCATGCAGGCTCCACCACTCACCCATACTCCTAGCCCTTCATCTGGTTTGTAGCCACATTTGTGTCTGTAAAATCAGCGGCTGCTTCTTTGGACACTTAAGTTTCAGTAGCTCATCTGTTCATTTACTTATGAGAAAATTGCCCTGCAAAATTCTGCAAGTAAGGCTCTGTGATAAAACTGTTTTTGTCAGTTGACTCTGTGTCTTTGTCCACTCAGAGCTCAGGGTAGAGCAGTTTACTTTGGTCTCCAACACTGCAAAAGTAAAAACATAAAAATAAGTTTTGAAAAGAAAGAGAAAAGATCTGTGAATACCAGTCTCTGCTAAACTCCTTTTGTGTGCACTGTATACCTGTTAGTAGGTGCTGAGTTATAGATGAAGAAGTTGAGGCCCAGAAACCTGGATAACTTGCCCATATTGCCCCTGCTCAACAAGTGATTAAGCCAGGATTCAAATCTACACCTTCTGAGCAGACTTAGCTGGTGTCTGCTGTGTCAGCTCTCCTTGACTGAGGATGATCCCTCGCCCGGGTCGTCACAAGGCTTGTTGTGTGACTCTCGAGCGATTCCTTGTTCTGTCTCAGTGTTCTCAGTCCTTTTGGCATCAGAGATGAAAGCTCGGAAGGAAGACGAAGGAAGACGAAATCCACCTCACCTTCCAAAGCCAGAGGCAAAGGGAAGGGTTTGGATTTGGAGAAACGCCATTCTCAGGAATGAAAACAAATTCAAAATGAGAAAGTGGGGAGGGACTAAACAGACGCGAAAAACCAGTACACACATCAGGACCGCTAGGAGAGGGGACAGTAAATATGAGGAACTGAGGCCGTATGCATTTTGTTAGTTATGCCATCTCATCGTGTTTGATAATGATCCTTTAAAATCTTTAAATAGAGAAGCATTTGTTCTTTGGGGGAGCAGTGACATAAGGCAAATCAGTTTGCAGCCAGCCTTAAAGGAGAAAAAGACCCCACCATCACAAAGGGATTGCGTGCATTGCGTTGGCTCTCAAACTAGAGGACACGAGCATTAGATAGTACTTGGGTGACATGAGAAGCGTCTCCTGGTCTCCTGGTCTCGCTTCCCCATAGAGCGACCAGCAGCTCCTGCTTCCACAGAGCCAGTGCTGCACCACTTCCTGCCAGACGGGCTTGGCCCAAGTCCATTTTCTTTTTCTTTCGTAGGTTTGCTTTTGTCTTGTCTTTGCTGGTTCCTTCAGTAGCAAAGTAATTGGCTTCTGATTGTACTTCCACCCCTTCACTTAGAGTCATTTCAAAAGACCTCTCATTTGCTTTCACCTTTGGTAGCTGGGAGGCCTCCCCCTCCCCTGCCCCACTGTCCCCCTGAAAGTTTTGCATTTGTGGTAATGCGCATGTCACTTCTTCCCTCCCCAAGCCCTCCTGCTTTAGCCTCTAAGTTTGGGCCTCACCTTGATTGCCACAGACCATTTACAAAGAGCCACCACTCAGGCAGTGTGTTTACTTTTATTGTTTAGATATTGGAGTGGCACCATTAGCATTGGTACTGTGTTTCAGAGTAAGTTTTTAAAAACTTGGTCTTGCCAAGAGTCCGCTCGTGAGATAAGTCCCCTAGTTGCCAAGGAGCTTTACTTCAAAAAACTAATCTAGCAAACAGAACATACATTTAAGTCCCAGACGCTTAAAGACAGAAGCCAAAGTGCTACCAGGAAGATCCTGTCACCTTAGACACAATCCTGATACTCTGTGGCTGGCCTGGAAGAGGAAGAAGAGTCACTTTGCTCTAAACTCAGGCCATAGAATTCCTTGACTCTGATAGGATGCCGAGATATATTGAGACATCAGTTAAAGAGACAGTAGTAAACACTGGGTATGGGAAAAGTTCTGGAACACTGAAAGCCCACAGAGTATGTACACTCTTACCCTCATGCAACATCGCATTAGTATGGGTGACTGAGAAAAGTGCACAGTGGGACATGGAGGTCAGCGTGTGTTAGAGCAATCAGATGAACCACCTGAAAATTGAAGGAAAAAGTAGTCTATTTATGAGAGAGACGATATTTGAGAAGGACCTGGAAGGATGAGCTGATGTGGCTTGGCAGGCTGAAAGCAGCATTTCCAGGAAGAAAGAATGGCAGGGAAGGTGCATAGGATTGTGGAGGGTAGAAAACAGTTCAGTGGGCCCATTTGACTCGAGCTTAACCTGTGTAGAGGAGCAAAGTTTGAGAGGCAGGTAGAAAAGTAGCTGGGCAGTGTTGTTAAAAGGAAGTGTGGGAGGAAGCAGCTCCCACGTGGAGTGCTTCATGCCTGGCGTGAAGGTGTGGACAGAAAAGGGACGCCTGTGCGTCACTCTGGAGAAAGATTAACATCTGCAGGATAGTGGGGGGGGGGTGGAGAGGGTTAATCCACACAGGAGGCCATAGGGCTTCAGTGACGTTGGAAAGATAGGGACGGAAGTGTCCACCATTGCACGGAGAGATTCTTCAGACTTAAAACTGTTGGGGAATCAGGAGTAAAAAGTCGGCAGCGACCCCAAGAGCTTATGCTGCCCGGAAAACTAGGTGCCAAAGCAGGGCTATCTTGGTTAGTTTACTCATCAACTGAGACAAAATACTTGAAGCCCAAAGTTGGGAAAGGAAAGAGGTTTATTTCTTACAGTTTTTGGAGGTTTCAGTCCACGCTCAGTTGGCTCCCAGGCAGGCAGGCATGGTGGGGCAGCAGTTCATGGCGGCTGCAAACAGCAAGGCAGAAACCTGCAAAAGAGCAAGACACACCTTCTGCCTGCCATTACATCACATCCTGGCTCCACCCCTATGTGGGTGTTGCACTGACACCATCCATCCAAGCACTAGACAGTGAACCAATCACAAACGCACAATGCAAAGGCATGAGGCCTGGGGGACACAGACATAAACCATGTCAGGGGTGTCTGAAAGGGTAGCAGTTTCCCAGGGAAGTCGGTGGGTTTGGAATTGTTCATAGTGAGTGCTGGTCAGGTGTCTAAAGAAAGATGTTAGTAAATAGTTTGATATGAGGATCTGTAGCCTAAAAACCATTTCAGTTAGCTTTTTCCCCAGTAATGCTTAAATGAAGGCAGCGGAGTTGGAGCTGTGATAGGTAGTTGAAGCACAGATGCTATTGCCAGAGTGACCAGGGAGAATGAAGGTCGGAGAGCAACAGGAAAGGAGAGGCTGCCGTGGGACGGAAGGGGAGGCCAAGGAGAGGGCCAGTGGGTGCCCTCTGGCCATCCTTCCAGTCCAGAGGTTCCTGAAAGTTCTCAGACTCCTCCTTCTGGGCGTCATAGTTTGGGAACGTGGCTCGATTACGGTAAGAGAGAAGTGTGATCCAGCCAGCCTCCACTGAGAAACCCTTTCTTGTAGGACTTGGGCTCATCAGGTTCCTCTAAGCACCACGACCGGCTGGCTAAGGATGGCCAGTTACTGCGGCCGTGGTCCTAAGCCCACTTGCTGTCCCTGCAAGACATTTCATTTCCTTCATAGTAGTTGACATGGCTGGGAGACGCCACCAACCTGCTGACCCTGTTCCTCTCTGTCTCCTCAGAGTCTGTCATAGGGAACTGCATGGATAGAAGTTCTCCAGGACAAGCAATGGAGCTACCAGACCACAATGGGCTCGGGTACCCCACACGGTCCTCAGTCAATGAGCACCACAGGCCCCGCACCCTCCAGAGACACCACACAATCCAGAACAGCGATGATGCTTATGTACGTTGGTCCTTCCTGCTTCTGGGAGGTGGGATGCTACCAGTCCCTACTTGAAACAGAATGTGGTAACATTGGGTGGCATCCATCCCTCCGCTCTTCTCATGCTGAGCCCAGCACTTTGGGGACCATGAGAATATTTATGAGAATCACCCTAGCAGACTAGCCCTTTGCTCCAGTAGAATCCTAGTAGATTTATTCCTCTGGATTCAGAAATACTTGCCAACTGGATTCTTAGTTATTAAACCTCTCCTCAGTCTAAACCCAGGCCCAGCAGATGAATCCTTAGACTGTTGGTACATTTCCAGAAGCTACATTATACTTCCTCAATGGATTTTTTTTTTTTTTGTCTTTTTCCTTTTTATCGGTACCAGGGATCAAACTCACCACTGCCTGCTTGCAAAGCAGGTGTTTATGCCGCTGAGCTAAATCCCCAGCCCCTATACTTCCTGACATAGGACGTATGAGCCGATGGGGCTCAGCAAGTTTTCTTGTCTTGGCACATTCCTGAGGTGCACTGTATGGGAGCAACTAGCCATATGTGGCTATTCAAATTTAAATTTACCGAAATAAAATGTGCACACTTAGGCCCTCAGTTGTACTGGTCACACTGTACATGCACAGTACCCAATAGCTACTATGTCTTGAAGGTTCTATCAGATGCACCTGAGCTGTGCCATCTGAATGCTGATTCCTAGGGGTGGGCTGATAGGTCAGAACCTGGATTAGAAGGACACGGGTAGGTCTCAAGGGAGGTCTGACTGTGCGCTCCCACTTTTGTGTCGCGGGAACCTGAGGCAGCTTCCCACACTGTCATTGTTGAAGGACTCCCAGGGTGTGGAGGAGGAGGGAGTCTGAAGAGTGGTGCCCAGGCACCATTTGCTTGAGCTTTACTGGCAGGACTGTGTGTCCTGAGGGTCACATTCTCTGCCGTCTTTATGTCATTTCCAAATTGTTCTCTGCAGGTGCAGCTGGATAACTTGCCAGGAATGAGTCTTGTGGCTGGGAAAGCACTTAGCTCTGCCCGGATGTCAGATGCAGTTCTCAGTCAGTCTTCACTCACGGGCAGCCAGCAGTTTCAGGACGGGGAGAGTGAGGGTAAGGGGCCTTATTGTTGGGACCCCCACTGAAGTCCCTGGGGGGCCTCCCTCCGCCTTTGCCAGGGCCCACTCCTCTGTTCAGTGCCGAGAATTCACAGGGAGGCAGAACAGGACCCAGCAGCCTGCCCCACGTGTCTCTTGTGAATATGAACATAGGATGGAGGAGGGGCACAGCTGTGCGTGGCCGGTCATACAGCTGTTCCTAACACTGTGGGAGGACACACCTGTGACAGTGGCTTTCTGGTTCTGATTGGAGTGGGTGTGTCCTAATGAAACGTCTCCACCTCGCCTTAGAATTAGTTCAGGAAGGCTGTGAGAACACACACACAGCTCGGGTCTAGGGTGGCAGACCTGCCCCTCATGGGCTGCAGGCTGCCCATGTAACCTTTCGGGATCCCCAGGCGCTGGTCTGTAAGTGGCAGAAGCGGTAGTCTGTGTCTTAGGTTGTGCTGTGAGGGCTGCCAGCTTACTGGGAATGGGGCGCTTCACGTGATTCCTAGAACAGAGAGTGCCAGGAAAGGGTGCCTACGAGCACGGCGTCATCCCCTTCACCATCCAAGAAGCAAGACTTTTCTGTTTGTGTTTTGTTTTTGTTTGTATTTTGTTTCTTGCAGCGTGGGGACTGAAGTCAGGGCCTTTGTGGGGAGCTGCATCTCCAGCCCTCTTTGGTTTTTTCAGATGCGCTCCCGAGATGCGCTCCCGTTGAGTTGCCCGGGTGGGTGGGAGACACCATAGTCAAGGGCTAGGGAGAACCAGGCGCACTCCTAACCGTCGGGCCCACTGTGAGCCGAAGGGCAGGGTCGCGGGTCAGGCCCTGGAGCGCCAGACGGGCTGCCGGCTTGTCTCACATATTTTCTTTGGTCTTGCAGAATGTGGGGTGAGTCTGGGAGGTCACGAGCACCCAGACCTGAATGATGGCAGCCAGCATTTAAACTCCTCTTGCTATCCATCTACGTGTATTACAGACATTCTGCTCAGCTACAAGCACCCTGAGGTTTCCTTCAGCGTGGAGCAGGCTGGCGTGTAACAGGAAACAAGAGTGAGTGTCACCTGACCAGGGCCAGCCAGCCTTCGGGCCCGCTGGCAGCGCCTGACCTCAGCAGGAGAGTCAAGCATTGTGTGCCGGCCATGGCACTCTTCCCTTTACGTCATCACCTCTGCCTGCTTTTGGTTAAGCACCGTGCTGGTCTGGGGGAAGGTGAACGGGGACGCACGTGTGTGACATTTTCCCTAAGCTCAATGAGGGAGATGAGACAGATGGACAAGCCTCATGCTGCAGGTGCTGTAGTCCTCACAGAAAGAGGTACAGCTCCGAAAACAGGGAACCCCTGGCCAGCGTGCTAAGAAGAGAGGGGCTGGTCTTTCAGCTCAGTCCTCTGAGGACACCCATCCAGTCACGTTTTTAAAGAGCAGGTGCAGGGGCTGGGGATTTAGCTCAGCAGCATAAATGCCTTCCTTGCAAGCAGGCAGTCGTGAGTTCGATCCCCAGTACCGATAAAAATGAAAAAGACAAAAAAAAGAAATTACAAAAAAAAAAAAAAAAGCAGGTGCAGTGCAGGGTGTTCTGGAGGGGAAATGTGACGAGAGACCAGGGACAGAAAATGGGTACGCGGACTGGCCTGGGCAGAGTGGCTCGAAGGCGAGGCAGGCAGTCTCGGTGGGTCTAGTTTTGGAAAGACAGCCACGACCTGATGGAGGGGAAGCCACGAGGCCAACCCGTGTGACAGCCTCAGCAGGCAGACCTTGAAGTGTTCGGTAAAAGCGCTTGAGTTGCATTAAAGGCAGCAGCAACACTAACACTCCACGGAGACGCCCTGACCTCAACCCCCACTGTGCGGAGTGGGCATCAATGAGATACTGAGTCTCTCTCTTTGCAAACTAAGTCTGCTCTGTCTGATTTGTTGCAGGATTGTGTACAACTTGGGAATGAGAAGGTTGATTTTAAACCAACAGTATCTAGCAGCACTGCGCCAAATTGCCATTGTGTTTCTCTCCACCCGGAACACCATGGCCGCTGCCCTACCACGCATCAGTATGCTGTCCTTTGGGGTCCGAAGGGGGCTGCCATGTTTGCTTGTATGACCAAGTCACCAAGGAAATAAACAGGAAATCCATGTTCTCCATCTTTCGTGAAAGTGTATTTGGTGTATTTGAGTTGGTGGGTGTTTCTGTTTGTTTGGTTTTTGGGTTTGTGCATTTTTTGCTTTGCTCTGTTTGCAGTACTGTCTTTTGAAGGTGGTAGCTTCCCTTCCGCATCCCTCCCTGCCGCTCTTGGCTTCTTCCTTTCTTTTGTGGATGTATGTATCTGTGGCTTCCTTATCTTCTCTCCCCTCCTCTCTGCATCCCTCCCCCCCCCCTTCTTCTCCGTCTCTCTCTCTCTGTCTCTTTTTGCTTTTGAGACATTAAGCCAGCAGTTAGTTCAGTGGCCTGGCCCCTCGGGCCGCACCCCCTGCACCCCTCTTCATCTGAGCACCCTCTGTTCCCCTGCCTGCTCCTCCATGGGTGCAAACAGAAGAGAACAGTTCTACAGTCTCAGTGGCAGCGAAAAGGAGAAGAGCAGAGGTGATGGTGTCTGGCCCTTAGCAGAGGAGAGCGGAGAGGAACAGACTGAGAGCGGCCCAAGTCTGGAACCTGGAGCTCTGCTCTGCTGCTGGGCTCTACCGCAAACACTCGCAGCCCAGCATCGAGGCCGACGGTGGCCTGGCCGACAGGCTGTCACCTGGGTCTCAGCTTGAACCACTCTGGCATATAACGCAGCTCCCCTTCAGCAGCCTGCAGAGTTGGTCGCCTTTCCATCCTGCTGGTTTACCCTGGACTGAAACCCAACGCTGGTGTACTATGCTTTCTGTGTCATCTTTCATTCTCATTTTATGATGTGCTCTAGAGAGGAGCTTTGGACATGGACGCCTTCCCTTCAGCCTTTTTGTCACAGGAGGTTGCAGTGGGTCCTGACTCAACCTCTCCCCGACCCTCCAACCCCTTTAGTTCACCGTGTAGGGATTATTTTTGGTAAATGTCAATATTATTGTTATTATTAAAGACAAAAAGAATTTTTGTTTAAAGGAGAATATTTAATCCGATTCTGTTCTATCTGAGCTGTGACTTGCACCTGTTGTTCAAAGCATTTTCTTCTGGCCTTGTAACCGTGAGCCGCGCCTTAGTGACAGTGGCAGATACAGTGGCCCCGTCCCCCTGCTGAAGCAGCGCATATGCAGTAGCTCTTGTTTATCCCGTTACCTTTATTTCCCTTCACCATTAGAAACCAAAGTCTTCTCTGCTGGCCGGGGCTAACAGATCTGAGTTATCTCCTTCAAAACCAGAGAGACACGTTGCCTGTCGTAACTCTTGACCCTTTTACTGGGAAGGAGAGTGAAAGGTCCCGCGCCGCTGCCGCCGCTTCTTTTATCCTGAATTTGCACAGAAGAAAGCGGGTGCCCGTGGCGCCATCCTGACGCTGCTGGCAGGGTCGCTGGGCAGGTTGTCCTCCGCTGACACCGGCACTCAGCTCCAGCACCCACTGTCCCTCAAGCGCATTTCTACAATGCAAGAGCCTTCTGGAGATCTGCCCACGTTCCCACGGCCCTGACTCCCCTCCTCTTGTAGGGATCGCCAAGTGCTCACTAGAAGGGAGTTTACTCACCAAGTGAGCCCTGGAAGCTGTTGCTGACTGCCGGGGCTGCTTCCCGCTTGGATGTCCCCTGACTCGCCCTCTGCTAGCACGCACTCCGCTTGGTCTGTTTACGCGGAACTGTCTCACCGAGAAGCAGATCCCCCTCCAGCAACCGTGCAGACGAACTCCAGTGAGCCTGCTAACGTGCCATCTCGCAAACGAGTCTTCTAAAAACACTGTTGCTTTGTATTGTAGTAGCCAACACCTGCAATCTATGTTGAATGTATATGAATATACTTTCCCATTTCTGTTCTTTGAAAATGTCAGAAGTATTTTTTCTTTCTCATTTATCTTAAACTAAAGGATTTTACAAAATCTCTAGACTCGAGTTGCTAAGACCTTTTGTCCTTGTTTGTGTGGGGCATTTACAGCTTAGTAACTTGGCTGGACGGTAAGAGGTTGTGAAAATAAAACCTGATCGTGTTCTCATGGTGACATGTTATTTGCCTCATGGTTCAGAGTGTAGTCAGGAGAAGCATCCAGGTGAGTGGGAACGGGAACACTGAGGCTGGGAGGTCACGAAGCCGAGCGTGAGGCTCTGAGCAGGTCACTGTCTGCTCTGCCTTAGGAACCTGGCCTTCTCCCGAAATCAACTCAGCCTCACACTGTGTCCCCGGAGACCCAGCTTGGCCTCTATCCTTGGATGGGAGCCTTTATATTGCTGAATTGGGTGGAAAGCAGGTTCTTCCTAAAAGAGGGGTACAAAGGAGTCTTAGGAAGTTCCTACCAACTGTCTCCTTTTTGGGGTCCCCATGAGGCTGGTGACATGTCCAAATAAGTGACAGGACCAAAAGAGGACTTAGCCAGGAATTTTCTTTTTCCACTCCAGCTATCGAAGCTGGAACTACTCGGACTGCAGGAGGAAGGGTGAGAGGAGGGAACTTGGGAAACCGTGGCACCCACAGAAGACTGGCAAGTCAGTGTGGGACTGTTTAGCCCAGCAAGAACCTTCTGGGAGTCCTGGATGCGTACCTGTGACCCACCCAGGTGCCTCTTGACTCCCCCCTGAAGTCAGCCAGGATGCTGCGGGACGGGAGGCAGTGTGGGCTTCAGGAGGAAGCCAGAGTACCGCCTCCTGGGTCTAGACCAACAGATCTCAGCTCCCAAAAGGAGAAGCTATGTGACTGCTCGTTAACCAGACCTCATCCTGACTTTGTACCAGGCCCCACCCCAACCCAGCTGCAAAGATAAGAACCCAGGATGAGCCATGCTTCCCTCGTGCTGGTCAAAGGAGCTGTGACTTAACCTTTCTGAGCAAGAGGGCAGGAGGGTCATGCACAGTTGATGTCAGTACCCTGACCCTGGGTGCTGCTTGGGGCTCTGCCAAGCATCTGGTGCGAGACCGAATACTCCTGTCTGGAGCCTCCTGAGGTCTTCTTCCTGCAATCCTTTGCCAGTCTGGGGAGCCTGCCTTTAGTGTGCCGGTGTCGCATGCATTGAGCAAATATTTGGTGTCCTGTGCCGGGCCCAGCAAGAAACAGTTCCTAATGCAGCCTGGCCTGTATGTTGGGACATAAGTTGTGAAATAGTTGCCAGTGATTCTAGCAAAGTCCGCTCACATAGCAGCTGCCAGCTCCTCCACATATGTCAGGAGATCTAGGACCAGTGCTCAGTGACCCAGGGAAGGAACGGTTGCTCTGGAGTTGCTCAAGCTAGGGGAAAGCGGGAGATGGGGTCACCTGGATGGGCCCTGTCCAGTAAGCTCAATCCCTGGGCACTTGACACCTCTGTAGTTGGACCCAAAGTCTGGTTCCGTGATGAGCCTGGTTTGTTGTTTTTCCATAAGCCTCCCTTAATTAAAATTGTAAAAAATTTTTATTGGTACCCATCTGCAGGACAAACATACTCGTCGTGGAGAGCTGGCACTTGTAGATAACGCATCTTAGTTCGTTCACTCCTCTCCCTCCATCTCTTGGAAGCCTTCCTTTCAACAATGGAAAAGCAGTTGTTGGAGGACTTTAAACTGAGTATTTTACATCAAAAGGAGCAGTACTAGTGAGAAGGAGGTGACAAAAACACACAGTGAATGTCTAAACTTTTCGAGGTTTACAGTAGAAGACGCATCCCATTAATCCCCCTCCGAACACTTTGCTTTGCTTCAGACACACTTACCTCTTGGTTCTTGTTACTTCCGAAGCAGCTCTGGAGTCCTCTTTTGTGTCTTTATGAGATACGATCAAATATCCAATGACTGCTGCTGCCCGGTGCCATCCAGCGCAGAGCCGGCCTCATACAACTGCGCTGTGTCCTCAGCCTCTGCATTCACTGAGTCTGGCTGGCACCGAGCATTTTCTGGCTCGTCTCTGACGTCAGACTGACCAGAGGCAAATGTTTCCCATCAGTTCAGGACATCTAGTTAGCCACCAAGAGCGCAACTAAAGACAGTCACAAAAGGGGACTTCTGGAACTGTCCCAGAAAGTGGCAAGAGCGATGAGATAAATATACTCAAGAAGATGGCATGCTTTGAGGGGTAGTAATGGCAATGTCTTCTTCCTGTAATTTTAAATTTTAGTATCTGCCATATTTTTTATTATATTTAAAAAGGACACTTCCTGCTTGATAATAGGCTGTTGTCACACAGCTCCCCTCCACTAGTGCCTTAGAACCCCTGAGCCAAGAAGCCATGATGTTCTTGAAGACAGCCCTAGGTAAACGGACCAGCAGGCCACCATCGAAGAACCCGAAGGCAGGCCTTTTGGCTGCCAGCCTTGCCAGCACCCAGTCCAGCCGCTGAAGGATGTCAGAAGGCCTTAGTGGCTCGGAGCTACTTTGATGACAGCCAAAATAGCAAAGTGGAAATGGCCCCTGGCCTTACGGGACCATCAGACGGTAACTGAAAGTGCTTAAGCCACCGAGTCTTGGCAAACGTTGGGTAGCTTAGCCGTAATATCTTCAATAGGAAGACAAAGAGAAGGTAAAAGCATATGACTATATGACTTGTTATATGACTATAGTCCTATAGTCAACCGAGTGAGCCGCTGAGGTCCTCCACACACTGCTGGGGTGAGCGCTGACCCTCAAGAGACAAAACTATTGGCCTGAGATCCAGCAAACTGCCCATAGGAGGTCAGCTTCTGGGGCCTCTCTGTAAGTCACAGACAGGTTGACAGCCAGCAGCAGGCCACCTCCCTCTTGGCACAGTCCCACAGAGAGCTGGGGCTGGTTCCCTCCTGGGAAAGATGTCCCGCATCTTGGCACCTGCAAGCAAGGCCTGACAGAAGTGTGGACTTCCCTGCCTTCCCTGACCCGTGCTGCTGGGAGTTGAGATCCCGGGCAGCCAGCTGAGGTCTTGCAGAGAGTTTGTGGCAACAAGGGAATAAAAGTTCAGAAAGCAAGACCCAGGATACAGAATAGTTACTTTTTACCTAGTAAACCGGTAAAGGTACCCTCCCAACTACCTTTCTGACATTCTGCATACACGTTCAAATGTCATGCTTGACACGAAACATTTATTATCTTATGGTTCTGGAGATCAGAGGTCCAAAATGGGTCCCGCTAGGCTACAATCATGGTGTCAGTGGAGGTGTGGTCCTTCCTCTGCCTCTGCCACCTTCTAGGGCAGCGCGGCTGTGCCCCTTCCAGCGACCCCCGTGCCTCTCTCCTCCTCACATTGACCAAAACACCCTTTTGCCATATGAGATCACAGTCACAGATTTCAAGTCTTAGGATGTGCACATCTTTGCAGGGCCATTCTGCCTGTCACACAACACTCCCTGTTACGAGTTTAAGACATGGCATGTTCTGTCATTATCTCAGCAGATAAGCAGATGTGGGAGGTTATGTAACTCGCCCAGGATTGTATAGCTAATAAGCGTCACACAGACCAGGATTCAAACCTGGGGTTTTCTGATCAAAACACACAAAAGAGGGGCTGGGGCTTTAGCTCAGTGGCATAAGCACCTGCCTTGTAAGCAGGCAGTCGTGAGTTCGATCCCCGGTATCAATAAAAGGGAAAAAGACACACACACACAAACACACACACACACACACACACACACACACACACACAAAAGATATGAGAACAGCAGGCGGAGAGGCCTGAAGGCCAGCCACACCCAGACGTGGCAGACAAGAGAGAGAGTCAGGGAGTTTCCTGGAAAGACGGTGGGGGGCACAATTCTGCCCTGGGTTCCAAGGCTACTGACCTGGGAAGAAAATGTGAAGAAAATCCCTTCAGTTTCTCATCTGATGGGACAAGCCCGAGTAATTTCAGCTTGGTCATTTACAGACTCCATGACCAGGTCGTCCTGCCAGTGACCTGGTGAGAGTGCCCCGGCTTTCAAAGAGAAACTTTGCAAGATGGCGGCTTTCAAAGAGAAACTTTGCAAGATGGCGCAGCTAACATCCACCAGCACACAGCGCCTTCCATTCACAGGCTCCCTCAGGGACACCAAAACCACCCACCATTCTTGAGTCTATTTTGCTGAGAGGACATGGAGTCTAAGAGAGAATACAAAACTTGCTCAGGTCCACCTCCAAGATGCCAGCAAAATGAAATAAAACACCAGTCTCCTGCCACCAGAGTCCTTCCCCACACAGGGGCTGGTATCTAACCTGCCCGTGTGAGATCGGATGTTCATACAAACCATGAAAATGCGTAAGTCTTCAGCTGAGAGGCCGAAGTGCTGTGCTTTACTACTTACTCCGGGACTGAAAGGGTTCTGGCCCAGGCCGGATAGTGTAGCCGGATAGTGTAGCAGTAAAGCCAAGGAGCTCTTATCTCCCCCTCCCTTAGGAATCTACCTCTGGCGCCAAACTAAGACCAATGGGCTACCTGTGCATCCCTAATGCCCCTAAGGGTCCACCCCAGGCGGAGGCTACTTATGTGCCTCACTCCACGCGTTCCACAGAGAGATCGGAGAGATCGCAGACCCCGGGGTGGAGATGGCATGCCCCTAGGGGGGTCGGGGGTGTCTCTCCCTGCATTCTCAAAATAAAGGTTATTTATATTTCATACTTCTTACCTTTTCAGCCGCCGACAGTCCTCCCCCACAGTTCTATCAGGGACGATGCCTTTTTTGGGTGCTGGATGTCTTTTTTGAAGCGGAGGTCATGGCGAGGTCCTCCTGGGGGCAAGACAGGGATGCCATCTTTGCAGGACAGAATTGAAAGTTGGCCACTCCATGTTGGTCTCTAGCATTTGTTTTGAAGTGAGTGTCTGTGATCTCAGTTTGGTGGTCTGAGCCTCTGGCCTGCGTTCTCCCCAGCAGCAGCTCCCTGGCACCCCAGTTTCCCTGGCTTAGGGCTTGGGAAGCCTGTGGAGGGTGAAAGAGTTGCTGGCCCAGACCAGACACTTTAACCAGGAAAAGCCACAGCCAAGTTAGGGGGCTCCTGCCTCCCCCACCCCTATAGATTTACCTGTAACCCTATACCCCCATCCCTAAGAACCTGTCCCTGGCGCCAAACGTGTGCCAATGAAATACCTGTGCATCCCTAATGCCCCTTGGGGTCCACCCCAGACAGAGGCTACTTATGGGCCTCACTCCACGTGTTGGACAGAAGAAGAAGAAGAAAGGGAGGGTGTGTTCCAGAGAGAGACCGCCGGCCCCGGGGTGGAGATGCTGCGCCCCAGGGCCGGGGGGGGGGGGGGGTCTCTCCCCGCATTCCCGAAATAAAGGTTACTTATATTTTATATTTCTTATCTTTGCAGCCACTGCCGCCCACTCCTTTCACAGCTGTCCACTCCACTCCTTCCCCCCCACTGGGTGCAGGGGCAGGGCGGGGCCTGATACCTAAAAAACAATAGACCTCCCTGGAATGCGAGAAGTCAGCTGGGGAGGAGATCTGTGGAGGAGTCCAGGTCCCTTGTCCTCTCCCTGCTGCCACCACAAGGAACAATGGCATGTACTCCCACGGGGATGGGGGATGGGTACAGCTTCCCAGACTGACCCCATAGGGACCCTCAAACCTGCAACCCTGTCTTTCCTTGACCCCTGCCTTGCAGCCCCCAGTTTCCTGTTTGCCCATTCTATTTGCCCGGCCCCAGGGACAAAACTGATCCTTGAACCCTCAGTTCCACATCGCCAGAACCAGCAAGCAGTGACAGGGCTCATCAGGCTTATCAGCCTGGCAGCCCAGCCCCTGCCTGGAGACATAAATAGGCCAGGGAAGGGCAGCAGGCTCAGACCAGCTCAGAGACTTGCCTAAGGGCTCCAGGGAGGTAAGTGCGGCCCCCTGCGCCAGGCTGCTCTGCGGGCCCCCCAGCTCCAGGAAACTGATGCTTGGCTCTGAGATCTGGGTTCAGCCAGAGATCTGGGTTCCTGCGACCCTGTCCCACTCAGGTTCCTCCTCCTCTCTGGCTGGAATGTGTGAGGAGCACGAAGCTCCTCATGCTAGAGGCACCCCTTAGCCAAGCCCTCTTCTCCTTCAGGTCATCCACACTGCAGGATGAAAGCGGTGCTGCTGGTCGTGGCTGCGCTCTTCCTGGCTGGTAGGTGCCCCTACCCTCGGGATCAACCACCGGGGCCTTCGCCCTAGGCCCTCGTGGCCTGTCCTGCTGGGTCTAGGGAGCAGAGTTTCTCGCTTGCCCCCTCCTAGTCCCAGACGCCAGCAGAGAGCTGGCATCTGACCTGGGTCCCCTCTCCAGCCCCAGGGAGCCAGGCACGGCACTTCTGGCAGCAAGATGACCCCAAGACCTCCTGGGATGTCGTGAAAGAATTTGCTAACAAGTATGTGGATGCAGTCAAAGAGAGTGGCAAAGGCTACGTGGAGCAGCTGGATGCCTCCTCCTTGGGCCAACAGCTAAAGTAAGGACCTAGGCTGGGCTCGGGGTAGGGGAAGGCCCAGGAGGCAGAAAGGCCTGCGGGAAGATATAGCCAGACTGGCCAAACCCTCCCCTGTCACTGAGTGTGCTGGGCCTTAGAGCACGTGTGTGGATGGAGATGCAGGGTCCTCATGCAGGTTCACAGCAACCCCAGCACCACACTGTGCCTGCCAGAGTAGTGAGCCCAGCCCTTTTGCACCTCCCTGGGCTGGCTGTCTTAGGAGGGAAGGGAGTGTCCTTCAAGGGTGAGTGTCAAGCCCAGCTGGGGCTCCATCTAGCTCCTCTCTGTACTCAGGCCATCTGTACGATGACACACAGGGTGGGAGTGTTGGGTTCAGGTGTGCATGTGGAAAGCCAGAAACACAGCTGTTGCACACCCAGCCCAGCTGAGGCCAGGGCTGGCAGACCCCAGGCAGTCCAAGGTGCCTGGGAGGCCGCCTGCCCCTCAGCCGGCTGCCTTCTCTCCCACCGCAGCCTGAGGCTTTCGGATAACTGGGATACCTTGAGCACCATCCTCACGAAGCTGCAGGCAGATTTTGGGCTGGCGACCCAGGAGTTCTGGGACACCTTGGAAAAAGAAACAGAGTGGCTGAAGCAGATAGTGAGCGAGGACCTGCAGGACGTAAAGCACAAGGTGCAGCCCTACCTGGAGAACTTCCAGAAGAAGGTGCAGGAAGAGGTGGAGCGCTACCGCGAGAAAGTGAGGCCGCTGGGCATCGAGCTGCGGGACGGTGCTCGCCAGAAGCTGCAGGAGCTGCAGGAGAAGCTGACCCCGCTGGGCGAGGACCTCCGTGACCGCACGCGCGAGCACGTAGATGTGCTGCGCACGCAGCTGGCGCCCTTCAGCGAAGAAATGCGCCAGCGCCTGGCCAAACGGCTGGAGGAGCTCAAGGACAGCGCCACCCTCGCCGACTACCACGCCAAGGCCAGTGAGCACCTGAAAATGCTGGGCGAGAAGGCCAAGCCCGCGCTGGAGGACCTTCGCCAGGGCCTGCTACCCGTGCTGGAGAACTTGAAGGCCAGCATCCTGAGCTCCATCGACCAGGCCTCCAAGCAGCTGGCCGCCCAGTGAGGTGCCCGCCGCTGCTGCTGCCTCATCCCCTCCCCAGCGTTCACTTCCTTAGAATAAACGTTTCTGAAGTGGAAAACAGCTTCTTTCTTTGGGGGGAAATGGAAATAGGGTGGGGGGCCCTGGAGGGGACAAACAAGGGAGCTGGGATGGGGTGGGAGACTTCACACCCGCAGCAGGGCCTCCCTGGCTGGACTCAGCAGGGGTGAACCAGGCTCAGCCTCTGCAGGGCCTTTATCCACCGTGGAGGTCCTGCAGGGCCCCTGGCTGGTTAGCAGCGAGGAGCAGACCCCTGGTCCCACTGTGGCTCTGATAAAAAGGAGGGGACAGGACCAGGCAAATTGATGTGTCCCTCTAATCCTAAGGGCCTGTGAGGTTCAACTCCTAACTGTTCAAACCTGCCTCTGCATGCAGAAGTGGTCCCTTGCCCCAGAGGTGGAGTCGTCCACCTGAGCATAAGACAGGGTCTTCGGCCAGCTTTCTGGCGCTAAGCCCCGTGCAATGAACCTCAAGGGGCCGCTGGAACTTGAAGGATTTGGGTGGGTACAAATGACATGCTTGGCGCTTGCTCCTTCCTCCTTTATTAATTTGAAATCTTAAGCATTTTCACAAGAGCAGAGCCCCCTTCCTACCACCCCGACAGCTAAACAGGCTCAGCTCTGGAAGCCACCCCGGTACCCATGCGGCCCCAGGCGCTGCCAGCCCTCTTCTGCCAACTCTGGCCCAAGTCAGAAACATAAGCGCCACCTCTGGCAAGAATCTAACATACTTGCATTTCCCAGACTAGGATGGGGGCGGGTCCTTCCCCAAGTCTGAGTCAGCTGTCACTAGACCCAGGTCCCCATAGTGAAGCAGAACTTGGAGATGGGAAGTCACTGCTGAGTGAAGGCAGGACGGGCTGGGTTACTCACGTGAGACCTATGGGCATCTATTATTATTTGGGGGGAGTGGGATAGGGTTTCCCTATGTGGTTCAGGTCGGCCCTAGTTCAGTATGGAGCCCAGGCTGTCTTTGAATGTACAGCGATACTCCCGCCTCAGCCTCCCAAGTGGGATTATAGGTGCGCACCACCATGCCTGGCCTACCATTACTTTTCTTTTTTGTAATGTGTGGCCAGGCACTCACATTCATTCAGGTGTGCACACTCACGTGCACATCTTGGCGCCATTCCCTCTTCACACACTCATCCGTGTGTCCCTGTGTGCGTGTACATGTCTTCCCCAGAGCCAGAGAGACCTCCTCTCCCCTCCCCAGCGGCAGGGCCTTTCTCCCCATGGTGCAGGCCTCTGCCCCTTCCCTGTCCCCAGGGTGTCTTATGACCCTTGGGTGGGGCCCTGAGACCCCTGGCTGTAGTTGGCGGGAAGAGAAAGCAGGCGGATTCCCAAAGAGGAGGCAGCCCGGATGGAGCTGGTCTTACTAGTGCCGCCGGACCTGGAGGAGAGCCCGGCAGCTGGCCGAGGAAGCACACAGATTTTCCTTCCCGTGTCAGCTGAACAGCTCGGGCCGCTGACCCGAGGGTTTGAGGGCTCCCGCTCGGCCTGCCTGCTCTGTGACACTGTGCACCCACCCTTGCCTCCCTGAACCTCAGTCAGTTCCGCTGCAGGTCGGGCCACTTTGTGGTCCTGAAACTCTCTGCTGTGTGTATCTGTGGAGTGGTGGGGACACACCCCTGCTGGGGTGACTGTGTCTCCCTTCCCTGTTCCCGGGATAGTGGGTCCCATTCCAGTCCTGTCCCTAGGCAGCCAATCAGGCCAGCTGTCACCGACAATCCCTTATCAGGCATCTCTGGCAGAGGCTTTTGAACACTGCCCCATTGTATTCCCACCACAAACCCACAGTGGAGGGAGCGGTATCATTATTACTGTTATAATTTGTTTCTTGAGGAAGCCCAGACTGCCCTTGAATTCACTATGTAGCCCAGGATGACTTAAGCCTGTGATCCTCCTGCCTCCACCTCCTGAGGGCTGGCATAACAGCTGTGTAGCATCACTCCTGACTTCAGGGGCATCATGGTGCCCATTTGACAGCTCAGAAACTGAAGCTGATGCGAAGTGAGGCAGCCACGCCGAACCCGGTTGAACCTCGCTCCCCCTATCCCACTTCCGTCAGCCGGGGTGCTCAGGGGCCTTGTGGCCTGGGGAACTGGAGTCAGCGTCTCACTGTTGGTGAACAGACACAATCGCAAGTCTGACGATGACGTGTGTGGGCAGGGCCAGCTCAGCAGAGAGCGCACACTCAGGTCACACTGCGCAGCACTTGGCTGTGTATAACAGTGTCCTCAAAGCTGTCACTCAGCGTGCCCCTGCGCAGGAGCCTGCCAAGGTCAGCAGGACGAGCGAGCCCTTCCTGGCCCCAGCCTCTTCCCCTGCCCACACGCACGCATGCGGCAGCGGAGGGACACAGCTGGCGGCAGCTTCTCATCCAGCTTTATTGGGAGGCAGCGAGATTGCAGGTGGCCAGGTCTGGGGAGGGCTGGGAGGCACTGAGAGCATTGTCCCTTTCAAGCAAATTCGGGGGGAGGCCCTGGGGATCACAGGACCCCGAGAGCTGGCGGGATGGGTGGACAGGCACTTGGAACCTTGAACTCGCAGCTGTCCTAGGAGCTCGGGGTGGAGTCCAAGAACCCCGACAGCCTGCCAATCAAGGAGGTCCAGTAGCCTTTCATGGAATCTAAGCTTTCAGTCATCCACTCCCTGTGGGAATCAGAGACAGGCAGGGACAGATTTGGGTGTGAGAGCCCCATTACCTAGCAGAGCCCCTGAGGCCTCAGGCAGACCACAAGCAGCTGCCACCCCAAGCGGAAGAAATGCAGAGGCGGCCAGCACAGTCTCAGCCCGCATTTCTTCAGGTTGGGTCAGACTCTTTGTCCCAGCCCCACTCCTACCATCCCAAGGGCCCTGGCACAAAATGGTGGCAGATGTGTGAGGTCGGGGCTGCCTTGCTTTCCTGGCAAATGCTGTCCCCTGCTGCTACCCCAGGGGTCACCCAGAGATAGGGAAGCCAGCTTCCTCCCATCGGAAAATAACGGGGGATTGACTAGCTATATAATCTGGGCCAGGCCCCCTAACTTCTCTGAGCCTCAAATTTCTTTTCTGCAAATTGGGGGAAATAATGCCCACTCCGCAGCCCATCCAGAGGCCTAGCAGTATTTGCAAAGGCCTCTGCCACACAAAGCCAGCCAGGCAATAGAGAGAGCTGAGGACTCTTGGGTAGGACAGGCCGGGACAGACTTCCCCTCCACTGGTCTCAGGGCCTGGGGCAAAGTGAAGCCGATCCCTCCCTCCAGGCTGGAGCTGGCGACCCTCCAGCCCCCCCAGGAGAAGAAAATGGCAGTGAGGGCTCGGGTGGGCCACCTGGGGAAAAAAGAGGACAGTGAGGAAGGGGATCCTGCCTCTGTCACCTCTCCCTTGGGCTCTGGCCCTGTGAGGGTGCAGGGAGGCTCAGGGCGGCACAGACCCGGGCTGGGCTGGGAGTCGCTCCTGCCAGGGGGGCAGACCAGCTAGGATACAGGGAGCTGGCACAGAGGCACGGAGGAGAGGCCCGGCGGCGTACCTGGCATTCTCGGCCACCTGAGACTCCTGCACCTTGGTCAGCATCTCGTTGGCAGTCTTGGAGGCCTGCTGCATGTAATCTTTCATGACCCCCAAGAGGGAGGACTCCTGGATCTCCTCAGCTCCTGCAGGGACAGCAGGGCTGAGCAGGGGTGGTTTGACCCCCAGGGTCCTCTTGGTTCCCATTTGGCCACCACCCACAAGGCACGAGAGCCCCAAATCACTTCCCACATTGCCCCCAACTCGGTCCCCAGAAAGTGCTTACGGGCAGAGACCAGGAGTGCCAGGAGGGTCACAGCGAGGAGCACCCGGGGCTGCATGACACCTCTGTTCCTGCAGGGAAGAGTCCTGTGAGGACTCCGTATCTCCCACTCCACGTCCCCCCACCTCTGAGCCCTCAGGGTGGGTCAGCCTAACATGGACCATCAGCAGGGGTGGTCAGGCAGGATATACAGAAACCCTCCAGACTGGGAAGGAAGGCCTCAGTTTCCCGTCTGGGTCAGGGCTGGGTGTCCAAGGCTCCTTCAAGCCCTCAGCAAGCAGAGAGGAGAGATGTACAGTGTGGGGCCCAGTTCCAGTCCAGCGTGGCCACTACCCTCTATGTGGCTTTGGGCAATTGACCTCCCCTTCCTGGGCCTCTGGGATGGGGGACACTTGTGCCACTGACGACGGCTTCCTGGGCTCCTGAGGGCTGTCTTCTAGGTCTGCTGGCTGGAGCCTTCCCTGGCCACCCCTGTCCTCTTCCCTCCTCCCGGTCCCCAGGGCATTACCTGGAGTAGCTGCTTCTAAGAATGAACTGAGCAGGCAGGCGGGAGGGTGCTGAGCTGTTTTATACCGTCCCCAGGGCTGGACAGCAGACTCAGAGGGGCCAGTGAGCAGAGCAAAGGTCACCTGCTGACGGTGAGAGCAGGGCCTGAGGCAGGGTTAGCAGCTGCACCTGCCGCCAGGGTAGCTGGATCCTGGGGCCATGCCCGCTGCTCACCCTAACCCTCCCGCCTGGTCATACGGCCAGGTCCTGGAGCAGGCCCGGGAGACCCCACTCCTTCCCACGGACTGGCTCCCAGGAGGCTGCTGAGAAGGCACAGGGTTTGGGCGATGAGTTGGGGCCCCCGAGCACCTCAGCCCTTCACATGTAAGTTTTCAGCCGCCCTACCATTCCCCGCAGCAGCCTGGAGCCGAGTGATGGGCTTCTTCAGACCTGAGAGCCACCAAAGGGTGGAGCAGGGGTGCTGGGGTGCAGCATGGCATGGAGCAGGGGCAGGGCCTGCGTGGGAGGCAACAGCCAGGCACACTTGGCTGCCCAGCACCCCTGCCTCAGAGTTCTGTCACACTGTGTTCCCAGCAGCCGATCCAGGGCAGGGGTTGACTTGCAGAAGGGCAAAGGGCACTCTGAGCCCAAGGCCTCTGTCCACCCCTCCTCCTGTGCCCCTCACCTTGTCCTCTGGACCCACTGATAACATCCCCAGGGCAGGAGTGGGGCTCCCAGCAGGTGGTCAGGAGAGTCCCCTCCCCGGACTGCAGGCTCCTCCTGCAGCTCTGGCCTGTTGCTCTGGAAAGAGCGTAGTGGGGGCAGACCAGGGCAGGGAAGGCACAGAGGAGGTTTTAGGTGCAGGTGTCACCCTATCTTCTTAGAGCTAAGATGTTCCCAGAGCTCACACTGAGAGCCACAGCAAGGATGACCGTAGCAGGGGACATTTCCTTCTGGCTCCTGGGTCTTTGGAGCCAGGAAATTCTAGCTTCCAATATTGTCACTTATTGGTGAGACTCATGGCTGGAAATCTAATTCCAGAAACTCAACATTCTCCTCTGTAAAGTGGGAACCCTGTGCTGCTGAAGACTTTGTTTTGTGTTAAAATGCAAGTAGTCAGAACCCTGTGGGTTAAACATTAACTCCGTTTTACAGGTAAGAAATGTGAGAGCCAAATACAAAGAGACCCACCCCCATGCACATCGCTGGAAATGGTAGGGCAGGAATCAGGTCTTTCAACACCCAGGCTGGGAGCACTCAGACAGGCTGGAGGGGTGAGACTCCCAGAGACTGAACAGCCCCGCACTCCACGGAGCAATGCATCCCAGCCTACTTCCTGGGAACAGACATGGTGATGGGGAGAGGAAAGGTGGTTAAGTCCTGGGAGATTTGGGCACTGGGGTGGGTACAGGGCTCAAGGTGGCCACTTTCCCGGCCGTGGGTGTGTGCAGACAGCTGTGGCAGCAGCCCTGACCCCAAGCTTTGTGCTGCAGGCAGTTGGATGTTTGCACACGTTCTGCTCGCCCTGGCAAGTACTCTTAGGCACGCTCCAGTGAACCAGGCCCTCTGGGTTCGAGCACACCTGGCGAGTGGGTGACACAGAGGCACCTCCGGACCTGTCGCACGCTGGCAGTGCCTGCAAGTCCAGGAGATCAGCAGACTGCAGGTGAGGTCAGCAGTCCTTGGTGACTCACGCCCACCTCACCCAACCTCGGGGCTCTGAGCACTGACCTCGTCTCCCAGCTCAGGCTGCACCTGGCCTGATTTGGCAACACGATGGACCCAATGTGTCAATGTCACAGGAAAGTTGAGGGTAAAAACGGTCAACACTTAAAAAGCACCAGGCACCATCGAGAGTATTATGTGGATCGTCTCGCTGGCCTGACAGCCCAGGAAGCAGGTCCTGGGTTCCTTCCACGAGAGGACCTGAGACTCCAGGGCAACACAGGCAGACACGGGGAGCCCAGACTGAGGGATTCAGATGCCAGAATCTGAACTCAAAACCTCCTTAGCCTACAGGTGACCACAGTGATATGGGCAGCATAAGGGATAATAGCTTAATGTCTTCACCCTCATGAGACACTGAGCCACTTCTGGAATATTGGAAGAAAAGGAAGAGAAGAAGAGGAAAAAGAAGAGGAGCGGATGAGGGGAAGAGCATGAGGGGGAAAAAAAGAAGAGGGCCAGGGATATAGCTCAGTGGTGCAGCACCTGCCTTGCAAGCAGGAGGTTGTGAGTTCTATTCCTGCTATTAAAAAAAAATAAAAAAGAACATAAATTTTTTAAAAAGAAAGAAAGGGAAAAGAATGGGAGGGGTGAGGAGGCCAAATGGTAAATCGGGCCCAGCTCATCTGCTCTCCGCCCTGGTGGCTTCGTTTTGCACAGCAGTGGTGCCCACCTGGGCCTGGCACGGTGCCCCGCACAGCAGCCCGCAGTGCGGCACAGCAGAGCTCTCATCTGGTCATTGGGGCGCACGTTTCTGGGAACTGCAATGGGGCCCCCGCGTGACCAGTGTGACCTGCTCTCAAGAGATGCGGGAAACATTGCTGCAGAAGACCCCAAAGCACCGCCATGCCCCATCCCAGGGTGGGGCTGGAGGCGGCCTCAGGTCTCACCATCTGCACAGGCCTGGGGTGTCACCGGGGGCAGCAATCAGGCCTCAGGCCGCCCCCCACTCCACTCTCACCTACGTCTAGCCCACTTGGTCACCCTCAGAGAGGGTGGGCCCTCTGTTTCACTTGAGGTCTTGGTCCCCATCAGGAAGACACCGTGAGGATTAATATCCAGGATTAGTTTCCAGAGCTTACCCTGGGCCCGGCACCACACCTACCACCCGCTTCCTTTAATGTGTGGAACACTATCACTGCCCCGAGGGGAAACTGAGGCTTGGGATTTGGAAGAGTTAACTGCCCAAGGCAGCACAGTTTGGCAGTAGAGCACCAACACACTCATAATTAACCCCTTCAGCACAGAGCCCTGCCCACAGGCTGTCACGGGCACCTCCCAGATACAGCCCCACAGGACGCCATCTGCCTCATGCAGGGGCCTAGTCCAGTCTGCTGCTCAGGGATCGAGTCTGGAGGTGGCACCTGTGGGGGGGGGTTTACTGTCTCGACTGGGCCAGACAGAAAGAGATGTGGACCTTGTCCCCCTAGCCTGGCTCAGCCCCAGGGCAGCTGCAGGGACCCTGGGACATCAACCTTCTCGGGGCTCCTCTTGGCCACATTTCTCCCACAGCTCATGCCCCCCCCCACCTGCCCTCTGCACTGGGTGGGGCCAGCCCAGGGTGGCCACTTCCCACTGCTGCCAAAGCCTCCATCTGCCATCAGCTTCCACGTAATCTTAGGGTCAGGAAAGTCCAAGAGGCCTCCTGGGAATGTGTCACCTTCCAGCGTGGAATCACACGGGAGGGAGGCGGAGGGGGCACCTCCAAGGAGCTTTAAATGCCTGGCTGCTACTGAGCACTGGTCAGTTCGCACAGCAGCACAGCTGAGCCAAGGACCTGTCCTCCGCTGACGCCAAAGGAGCTCCCAGCCCAGCATGGGGCCCAGGATGTTCCTGAAGGCTGTGGTGCTGGGCCTGGCCCTGCTGGTTGTCACCAGTGAGTAGAAACTGCATTTGGACGGGGTCAGTGTGCGGGCAGAGTGGAGAGGCCTGGCCAAGGCCAGAAGGTACTTCAGAGTACCGGTCAGTCCCTGGCTGGACACAAGGACTACCCAGCTGCCACATGGCTGGCAGGAGGGCTGGCACATGCGCAGCAGTAGACAGGTCCACTAGTGTTGGTGTTACTGGGCTAAGCCCCGAGAGGGAAATCAGGCTGGCTTCCCTCACCGTCTTCCAGTCTGTACCTGGGGCTGGCGCTGAGGAGCCAGGGGAGACACTGGGGTGTGTGATTCGCTGTCTCTTTACTGCAGGTGCCCAGGAAGACGTCAGTGCTGACCAGGTAGCTACTGTGGTATGGAACTATTTCAGCCAGCTGGGCAATAATGCCAAGGAGGCTGTGGAAGACCTGCGGAAGTCAGACATTAACCACGAACTCAAGTAAGGCGGCGGGGTGCACCGTGCAGTGTACAGTGCAGGGCCCCTCACAGACCCTTCTGAGCACTGGCGAGGGGAGCACAGAGGCGGGGCGCGGTGCTGGGATTCTCGCTGCCCCGCTGCTGACGGGGGATCCTGGGCTTTCTGGATCCAGATGAAAGCAGGGGGCTGTGCCAAACAATCCCTAAGGCGTCTTCCTGCCTTTATGTTCTGGAGTCTGACCATATCCTATCACTGAGGCTCATGAAAGAAAAGAAAGGAGGGACATGTCACATGGCTTCTAATACATTCTATAGACGGAATCTCATGAAATCAGAGCGGGCCGGGGGGGGGGTACTTAGGAAGCTCCTGGCACACCCAGGGAAATTAGCACCTTGTGCTGCGGAGGTCAAAAGCATTCTGAGACACGCCTGGTCCTCTGTCCCAGCACAGCCAGGCTGGGGACTGGGGTATGTGTGTGTGCGTGGGGGTGGCTCCAAGTCCACCTCCCTTCTTTATAGCCCAAGAGGGAGAGCAGACAGCTCGAGGTCCTGAGATGGGTGGGCACTGATGCTCAAACTCAATGGGAGATTCGGAGCTACAAATGCGATGTAGTAACAGTCTGTTACTATTCCCTGTATCAGGGCCCCAGCTAGAAAGGGAAAAGGTTGGGTGAGCTGGGGCCCCCCACCCAAACACCCCAACTGGGCAGGTGTGTGGAAGGCGAGTGTTACCACGTGTATAACGGTGGCTCTCTGTGCCCTTGCCCTGCAGCATCCTCTTCCAGGGCAAGGTTAGGGATACGAAAGCCTACACCAGAGGCCTGCAGAAGAAGCTTCTGCCCTTTGCCACGAAGCTCTATGAGCGCCTGACCAAGGACTCGGGGAAGGTCAAGGAGAAGATTCAAAAGGAGCTGGAGGACCTGCGCGCCCGCCTGCTGCCCCACGCCCAGGAAGTGAGCCAGAAGATCGAGGAGCACGTGGGAGGGCTGCAGCAGCACCTGGGGCCCTACGCCAAGGAGCTGCACTCCCAGGTCAGCAAGCAGGCAGAGCAGCTGCGCAGCCAGCTGACTCCCTATGTGCAGCGCATGGAGAACGTGCTGCAGGAGAACATGGACAGCCTGCAGGCCTCCCTGATACCTTATGCTGACGACTTCAAGGCCAAGTTTGACAAGAACATGGAGGAGCTCAAAGGGCGCCTCATGCCCCACGTGGAGGGGCTCAAGGCCAAGATCGACCAGAACATGGAGGAGCTGCGCCGCAGCCTGGCCCCTTATGCACAGGGCGCCCAGACAAAGCTCAACTTGCAACTGGAGGGCCTGGCTGTCCAGATGAAGAAGAACGCAGAGGAGTTCCAGGGTAAGATCTCGACCAACGCCGACGAACTGCAGCAGAGGCTGATGCCCATGGTGGAGGATGTCCGCAGCAAGCTGATCAGCAACACCGAGGGCCTGCAGAAGTCGGTGGCGCAGCTGAGCAGCTATCTGGACCAGCAGGTGGAGGAGTTCCAGCGCAACATGAAGCCCTACGAGGAGACCTTCAACAGAGCCCTGGTGCAGCAAATGGAGCAGCTCAGACAGAAGCTGGGCCCCCATGCGAGGGATGCAGAAGGCCACTTGAGCTTCCTGGAGAAGGACCTGCGGGACCAGGTCAGCTCCTTCTTCAGCACCCTGGAGGAGAACCAGGACAAGCCCCTGGCCCTTGTTCTCCCAGAGGAGGCTGCTCCTGGAGCAGGGCTGGAGCAGCCCCAGGAGCAGCTGCAGGAGGAGCCCCAGGAGCAGCCCCAGAAGCAGCTGCAGGAGGAGCCCCAGGAGGAGCCCCAGGAGGAGCCCCAGGAGGAGCCCCAGGAGCAGCTGCAGGAGGAGCCCCAGGAGGAGGCCCAGGAGCAGCTGCAGGAGGAACCCCAGGAGGAGCCCCAGGAGCAGCTGCAGGAGCAGCTCCAGGAGCAGGAGCCCACCCCTTTGGAGAACTGAGCTGCCCCTGGTGTCCTCTCCCCATCACCATCGACATCTGCCCTGCCTTGCCCCCTGTCTGCCCCTCAGTCCCTAAGCACTTCCTGTATGAGCTCAAGGACACATGCCCAGTGGGTGGTAATGCCCCTTCTCTATACTCAATACAGTCGCTGAGAAACTAGCCCCTGTGGTTGTCATGGGACTCTTGGTTGTTGGGGAGGAGACACTTTAATTGACAAAATGTAGCAGGTTCTGGCAGAACACTTGGGGGGACATTGAGGCCTGAGCCATGTGACTGTGTGAGGGGGGAGAACCAGTATGTTGAAGGGGGGTGTTGGGGAGCACTCTAAGAGGAGGTTAAAAAAAAGAAAGGTGTCACACATCTTCTAAAGACAAAAATACGCAACCCTGCAGTTGTTCAGGCAGCAAATAATTACCGACACTCTTTGCGTGCAAGACATTGTTCTAGACACCAATGACCAAATAGCTTTCCTGAAGCCAGGCCCTGCCACCTCACACTGAGAGGGACACCTAGAGGTGAGCAGGACACCTAGAGGTGATCCCCCCTGTACGGTGCAGCAGCCAGCCTTACCCGGCCTGTAACACCTGCGCTTTTTTATGAACAGTTGGGTTTAACCCAGCCCCTCATTGCAAAAGTGATTCCTGCCTGTTTGACGAGTGTCTTAACTCCTGACTAAACTCATGGGCTCCAGAACTGAGAAACGAGACCTTCAGATATGGACAGATTTAGGGAGCAGGGCTGGAACAGAGCCCAGGGAGCCCCAGGGTGCTCTGCCTGCATGTCAGGGTGGAGCTTGCAGTTGTGAGGTGATGGGCCGAGCAAGAGCTTAGGGGCCCGAGTGCTTTCATCAGCACAGCCAGCTTGGGCAGCTGCAGCCTCTGGAATGAGCTCCTCCTCCAACCTGGGGGATTCACACTCTTCCCAGAAGGGAAACTCAGAGGAGGACTAGCCCGGAGGACTCTGCCCCTTGACTGTTAGCTCTGACCCAGGTCTGTGAGTTCAGCCATTGGCTCTCTCCTCCCCAGAGTGGAGGCAGCCCTGGAAGAGGCCTAGAATTTGCTGTGGGCAAGGCCCCCTCCAGGGAGTCTCGGGACCTCCTCCATCTCTCCCTTTCCAGGTTCTCTCAGGATGGCAGCAAAAGCTCTAGCTCCTAGCTCCAGCCTGGGTGCCTGCCTCTTGGGAGGGATGTATCCTTGGGGATTAGGGACACTGGGGCTTGTGCGTAGAGTGGACACGCAATGGCTGATTTACTTCACACTGCTGTAGCACAATCAATGCCAGTAACTGTGGTCTCCAGCCGTCCTCAGTCCTGCCCTCCAGGTCGGTGAGGCTGCCACAGCCACCTCTGCTCCTGGTCAGTGGCATGGTAGGATTCTACATGTGAACATACCTCAGTGAGCCCAGCAGAACCCAGAGCTTACTGGCTGCTTTAAGACAGGGCCACACAGAGCAGGGAGGCACTGCCAGGATGCTGGACAGGGGCTGGGTATGTTTCTGAGCAGATCTGGAAGCTCAGAAGTGCTGCAAGACTCACCTGAAGGCCACCTGCTTGAGCACAGTTTCCAGGACCCCCAGAGCGCCCCAGGGCTTGGTTCTTAGTATGAATCCTGGATGGGGCTCCCGAGTCTTTCCCACCACTCCAGGACAGTCGCTTAGGGTCCTGCCATGGTCCTACTCCAGCTGGATGGGACATCTGGTCATCATCTACTCGCATCTGGTCATCAGTCTTCTGGGTCACTGACCTGGAAGATGTCTCCTGGTAACAACGCTGCTTGTGGCAGTGGAATTAATATTTCCATCCCCCAAATTCATTTGTTGAAATCTGAACCCCCCAGATGACACTATCAGAAAGGCTCTTAGGAGGTGACCAGATCATGAGAGCACAGCCTGTACAAATGGGATTAGTGTCCTTAAACAAGAGGCCGCAGAGGGACCTCTCACCCTTTCATATGGGAGGACAAGGCCATCCATGAGCTAAGAAGCTGCCCTCATCTTACACAGAGTAGCTGGAGCCTTTATCACGAACTTCTCAGCCTCCAGGACTATGAGAAATAAATCTGTTTATAAGCCACGCTGTTCATGATAGCGTAAGCTGAATGGATTCAGACAGCCATGAGCTTCGGGACCTTCCTTGCCTTGTGAGTTTTAAGGGGAGTCAGAAGCTGCCCCCCATTAGAGACTCTAACAATGCCAGCCACTTGCCACACAGCCTCACTTTCCTTGAGCCATTGTCCCGGGCTGCTGCTCAGCAAATTAGACATAACTTCTCCTCGCTGGTGTAAAGAAACAGGGCTGGTGGAGAGTCCCTTCTGGGACGGGCAGTTTGTACCAGGCTGGAGCCTCTGTCCATGGCTTAGTCCTGGCAGTGGCTACTAGGCGGCCTGGGCTCTCCTGGCCCAGTGGTGGGGACACAGCTGTCCCCACTGGTCTACTTTTGTAGGTTCCCTTATTACCTATTTTCCAAGCCAGGTACTCCAGCTTTTCTTGAAATTCCTGGAAACAGTTCAATAAATTCAGCTTCTGTGTTTATCTTCCAGAGTAGGTATCTGGTCTTCACAGCTTCGACTGGCAGCCCTTGTGTCTTGGGGAAGTTTCGCTGCCTTGGCCCTCGGAAGGCTCACCCTTACCCCGAGCTGCTCTAGCTGGCTGAGACATTCTTTGTCATCGTTAACTTTGGGCCTGTCTCTCAGGAAAGACAGTTTCCTTCTTGTTTTAAGCCTTTGCGTTCCAGCTGCCTGTGACCCAGTTAAGCTTAGGGTCGTCCCTAGCAGGGAAGATCAAGGGACAGCTGAGGAGATGAGAAAGGACTATCTGTCCTTGCTGCAGTGACCAGTCCCACCCGCTATTTTCAGAGGCATTCTGAAAGCCTCTTTCAGCCCTCCTGTGGGGTCCTGAGGTCAAGCAAATGTCCTGATTTTGTTCAAGGAGTTTTTAAAAAATTCATTATTATTATTATTATCAAATTTATGACAAAATGCCCAAGAGATTAAAAAAAAAAAAAAGCAAGGTTCTGATGAGTACACAGCTGTGTGAGAGTTCAGATCCTGGTGCATTTGACAGCTTGGCTCGGCTTGGCCCCAGCTCGCAGTGCTACTGGAGGGTGGACAGTGTGGGGCTAGTGGACGGAGATCGACCCCTGAGGATGCGTCCTTGAAGATAATATTGGACCCCTGACTCCTTCCTCTCTTCCCCGGTGCTTTTTTTGCTGTGAAGGGAGCAGCTTCCTCTGCTGTGTGCTCCCACCGGGATGTGCTTCTCCACCGAACCAGACCAACACTTCTGGAATTGTGAACCAAAACAAACTTTTGCTCCTTTTCAGTTAATGTACTGCAGATATTTGTTTTGGGAATAGGAAGACGCATTGCACACTTGTGTGTGAGTATGTCAGGAGGTGCGGAGGCACCTGGCACAATCAGACCTGTGTATCTCCTGGGGAGGACCCTGACAGGGCGGGAGCTGGTGACAGGGAGACCACGAAATGTTCTCTGCTCAGGCATCTGTAGAATGGGAGAGGCGGAGTCACAGAAGGGGAAGCCTAGGATGAAGGGGGAGTGTGTGACCCCTTTCCCTTCTGACAGCCCAGTGCCAGGCTCGTAGAACTTCGCTGTGGCAATCAAGCTGATGTAAACTCTCTAGTGTGAGCTGCTGTAAGAAACACATTATAAGGATGATTCAGATTCATGTAATCTTTCCTGCAGGCTGTGACATCTTAAACGCTGTAGGTGAGGGAGAGCCTGTTCAGCATGGCGAGGGACTTTACCTAACAAGAGCTGAGTTGGGACCTGACCCTGAGCCATCCAGCTGCATGGCTTTCCTCACCTCCTGATCTGCGACAGCGGGAACCCTCACAGAGCAGGGGGTCAGGCTGGGGCTCTGCCTGGTCATCCTGGAATCGCAGTATCTGGTTTGCATATAAGAAAGACATCGGCAAGCACAGGCCGCCACTGCACCAGGCTCCCTCTCAGAAGGCGGGGGCTTCATTTGCCAGCAGATAGTCATACAGCGTTGAGATTTAAGAACAAATCTTCTAGTCTTACTGTTTTTTTCTCCCCACACTGAGGACGAAACCCAGGGCCCTGGGCAAGCCAGGTGCACACTGCACTGCTGAGCCACATTCCAACCTGCTAGCATTACTTTTCAATTGTGGAGATACATAGACATGTAGACATATATCTGTATATCATAAATTTATCATTTAAGTCATGTTTACACACAATTCACTGGCATTAGTTCTATTCACAAGATTGTGCAACCAACACCACTACATAGTTCTGAAACTGTTTCATCAGCCCTAGCCAAAGCTCTGATTCACTAAGCTATTTTCATGGATAATGCAGCTACCAGTTGGCTGTGCACAAGTCTGTTGCACACCTTGGTTTCCATTCTGTTAGGTTTATATCCAGAGTGGCATTGCTGGATCATGTGATAATTCTAGGCCTGATTTTTAAAGGAGCCCTTTTTGTAGCAGCTCTATCATTTGACATCCCCAGCAGAAATGCACAAGGGCCCATTTCCTTATGTCCTCTCTAAGCCTTGTTGTTGTCTGGTTTTGTTTTGTTTTGAATGTTAGCCACCTGGAAAGCATTACTTTTAAAAACCAGAGAGCCGTAAGTAAGTATCCACCTGGGCTCCTCCTGGATGCAGCCTGCCACAGGCAGGACTGAAGCACTGGGCCACTGCGGGAGACTGGGTGCCAGGAGTCCCCAAGCTGAGGTGCTGTGTCAGATGAGGTGCTGGTCACACTCCCACACCTGTCACCCAAGCTCAAAGGTCAGCAGTCCTCTGAGAACACAAGGTCTGCCCCAAGGTCTCTGGTGTCCTGGTGTCCCCGAGTGGTCCTGATCAGGGCAAAGGGAGGGAGCCCAAGCATCTTAATGCTCTGGAGGGATTACCCAGCAGGATCTGGAGCAGCCCCTGCGTGGTGACACTGTGTCTTTCTGCCCTTATCACAGGGCACCCTGGGCTCCCAGGACAGAAACAGCAAGCTTGGTGTTAGCTGGGGACTTCTATAGCCCTACGTCTGGGAGAGTGTAGGGTGGGGTCTTGACTGCCCTACCATGTGATGACAAGTAGTTGACAATGGAGAGGACACGAGACTCCAGCAGTACCAGGTCAGGGAGGAGGGCGTGAGCTGCCGGCTCTGAGACTGATCAGTGCCA